TAAAGATACATTTATTCAGAGCTAAGTTTGCCTAAGGCTCTACAATTTGTATCTGATAACAACTCACACATCCTAGTATCAACAAATCCTTGCTATACACATTAGATCAGCAATGAAAAGAATTGTGGCTTTGGTGATATATTTCTACCAAATGATGCACAGATGAGTCATTATTTGTAATCACATGCAGCTGCCATTTGTAAGCAGAGCCGCAGAGATTAGTCAGGCCTTTCTAACTAGTATTCTTGAGAATATTCTAGAACATTCAAGATTAATAATCAACAGGTATATAAGGCCTCTGTTCTCCCTTGGGGAAATAGGGGGCCGGAGGTTGGTGATGTGGATTATTGGCTGGTTGAACCAGGACTATCATGCTGAGGCAGACTGCTGCAATTATTACCCCTGACCACTACCACATAGACAGTCTAAAAATTGGATAACATTTAGTTATCATCTGGAGTTCGGATGGATTTGCATTCAAGGTTTGTGATTTGGAACACATTGTGATTAGTTACAATTGGGTATGTGGGTCAGAAAATTTTGCAAAATCAATGACCATGACCTGTCCATTCTCAGACCTAGGGCGACTTTATCTCGGGATTTGTGGAGTGCACCTCAACCCCAGAAACTCATCAGGGATCCGATATCTGCAGGTATGGACAACAAACAGACCACAGCTCTGACTGGTGTAGTCAGCAGCTACTGTGAATGCTCATGGTGGGCGTGACACTTGGACATGGAGATGAGTGACTGAAGGCGATTGTGAGGGAGACATTGAGTACTGGTCCATTGTCCACATGTAAATGTATCACCTTGGAAGAAATATAAATGCCTGGGAGCATGATTGAGTGCATAAGGAGGTTCCAAACTGGGTGGGGTGGTGATATCCCACAGGCGTACAGTGCAATCCCAAGATCCAGATGCAAGACGGCGCCCATCTGGCGAGAAGGCCAGACATTGGACCGAATCGGTATGTCCCTTAAGCGTCCCAAGGCTTGCACCGGTGGTCCCATCCCACAGGCGTAAAGTGCAATCCCCAGATCCAGATGCAAGACGGCGCCCATCTGGCGAGAAGGCCAGACACTGGGCAGGACCTCTATGTCCCTCAAGCGTCCCAAGGCTTGCACCGGTGGTCCCATCCCACAGGCGTACAGTGCCATCCTCAGAGCCAGACGCAAGACGGCGCCCATCTGGCGAGAAGGCCAGACACGAGACATCCCTGGTATGTCCCTCAAGCGTCCCAAGGCTTGCACCGGTGGTCCCATCCCACAGGCGTACAGTGCGATCCCCAGAGCCAGATGCAAGACGGCGCCCATCTGGCGAGAAGGCCAGACACCGGACAGGACCGGTATGTCCCTCAAGCGTCCCAAGGCTTGCACCGGTGGTCCCATCCCACAGGCGTACAGTGCAATCCCCAGAGCCAGATGCAAGCGGCGCCCATCTGGCAGAAGGCCAGACGGACCTCCTGGTATGTCCCTCAAGCGTCCCAAGGCTTGCACCGGTGGTCCTCCCACAGGCGTACAGTGTGATCATAAGCTCCAGATGCAAGACGGCGCCCATCTGGCGAGAAGGCCAGACACAAGACCCCATCGGTATGTCCCTCAAGCGTCCCAAGGCTTGCACCGGTGGTCCCATCCCACAGGCATACAATGTGATCCTCAGATCCAGATGCAAGACGGCGCCCATCTGGCGAGAAGGCCAGACACGAGACCTCATCGGTATGTCCCTCAAGCGTCCCAAGGCTTGCACCAGTGGTCCCATCCCACAGGCATACAGTGCCATCCCGAGCTCCAGATGCAAGACGGCGCCCATCTGGCGAGAAGGCCAGACACAAGACCCCATCGGTATGTCCCTCAAGCGTCCCAAGGCTTGCACCGGTGGTCCCATCCCACAGGCATACAGTGTGATCCTCAGATCCAGATGCAAGACGGCGCCCATCTGGCGAGAAGGCCAGACACCAGACCTCCCTGGTATGTCCCTCAAGCGTCCCAAGGCTTGCACCGGTGGTCCCATCCCACAGGCGTACAGTGCCATCCCGAGATCCAGATGCAAGACGGCGCCCATCTGGCGAGAAGGCCAGACATTGGACCTCCCTGGTATGTCCCTCAAGCGTCCCAAGGCTTGCACCGGTGGTCCCATCCCACAGGCGTACAGTGCCATCCCAAGAGCCAGATGCAAGACGGCGCCCATCTGGCGAGAAGGCCAGACACTGGACAGGACCGGTATGTCCCTCAAGCGTCCCAAGGCTTGCACCGGTGGTCCCATCCCACAGGCGTACAGTGCCATCCCAAGAGCCAGATGCAAGACGGCGCCCATCTGGCAAGAAGGCCAGACATTGGACAGGACCGGTATGTCCCTCAAGCGTCCCAAGGCTTGCACCGGTGGTCCCATCCCACAGGCGTACAGTGCCATCCCAAGAGCCAGATGCAAGACGGCGCCCATCTGGCAAGAAGGCCAGACATTGGACAGTATTGGTATGTCCAGTCAAAGTCTGGTGTGAGGGCCAATGCACTGATGGTCCTCCAATGATTCTTGGTAGTCGATCTGAAAACTTGCTCTTGTATATCGTCCACAGTTGTGACTTTCGAGGGAGGAATAGTAGCCCTGAAGAGTAGATATCCAGCGCACTCTTCTCTAGTATTTTTTGATGCCTCTGGACAAGTCTAACTGTATCATGGCATAGCTATTGTCACTGCGGTCAATACACATATCATATGTAGCATTAGCTCACCTCGACCTCATCACCCAACCCTTGGCATTCACAACTTCGCCGAATCTCCTCGAAATTTCGAATAAGATGTACATGATCCATCAAGCTTAACAGCTCCACGAGGTACAAAATTTGATTTTCTAAAAACCTTTGCAGCATCTGGGCCACCTGTTTCTCTGTTATGACAGTAGACACATGATAGCCCCAGTACTTTGCCGCATAAGGTAGTGCCGGGCAACTTGTCCATAATCGTTCCAGTCGTTTATCCAGATCCATGACGTCCGTGTTCCTTGGATAAGGCTCATTCGGCATGGAAATGCCGCAAACGTCCTCCTTGAGATCCCTCTGAAGCACTGTGAGCACAGATAAGGCCAAGTCTGATTGCATTGCTGTCGAGTCGAATGGTATATCCACGTTGTATGGACTGAGAAGGTATTCTCGAAACGTCGGATGTAGAAACTCTACCACACTCTCCACCCGAAATACACTTTGCATCGACCCTAAGATCAGTCTTAGCTCAGAGTCTGCAATCCCAGTCATCTCCTCCAGAGCCTCCGTTGACACCGGCTCGAACAAGGTTAGGATAGTGCCCATAACCTTGTGTATGGTACCACTGGACGGCTCTCGTCGCAGTCGACGAAGGATGTTTGTATAGACCTGGTTAATGTCCCCACCCTCACCTCGTGTCAAGAGGGATGTGAGAGTCGCGCCAACTGCGGCCGGACCTTGAGCCTGTTGTAGCTCAAGATGTGCTGTCGTGATCCAGATGAAAAGTCCATTCGAGCGTTCTACAATCTTCCAGCGCTGAGGCTCGGTAAGCAGGTTGACGAGATGTACATCGACGTAGGCCCTAATGTCATCCAAGTTGGACTGTTGCTCTTTGCCATGCATCTTGAAATGCATTCCGCGTACAATCGCTTTACCCTGGAGTATTGCAGTGATGTCTGGCTCCGGCCGGCTCGTTATAAAGAGTTTGAGTTTAGGCATCGATGAAAGTTTCTCAACCAGTAGTTTGATCAACTCTCCCCTCGTCTCCTTCTTGCATTCATCCATTGCGTCGATCACGAGGACGATATCCGTCCTTGCAAGCTGCAATGGTTCTTCGATCAGCTTGGTGAACTGATGGCGTAGTCCTCGTATAAGGAGATTGGGATCTTCTTTTCTGATCGTCTCTATTTGCTTCAGGATCGTCTTGTTTTGACCACCGATATCACCTGCGATGACGGAGCAGAAATCATCCGTCTCCGATGTCTGCCGAGCATTCTTCGAAAAGAAGAACCGACCAACTAGAACATTTTCGGTATTATCCCATTCCTCGCACATCGTCAGTGTGACCGTGGACTTTCCTGACCCGCCAACATCGCAGAGCCAAAAGATGCGCTTGTCTGCATTGGGGTCCAGACGCCATTGCCGAATTTCCCGCAGAATCGCTACACGTGTACCTGGTAGACACGTTTTGTGCTGAGTGCCCATTGGACGAGGCTTTTCGGGCTCGAGTTGGGCTACTTTCCACACTGTCGAGAATCACTATGAGTCGGAGACTGATGTCAATCAAACTAACCTTCTGCTTGCAGCTGATTTTGACAGAAATTGGCCACATCCTATTGCAAATAGCTCAACACAAAACTGGCTTCACGGGGTACTCGTACCTTGCATATGCGTGTCGCTTGTAAGATTTCCTGTTTGTAGTCTGCAATATCTCCTGTGTCAATTTTGGCGCCCTTGATCTTTTCGATAAATCCTTTGACGCCTTGATCTCTACTGCGCTTCAACTCATCCATTCTGGTGAGTATGTTTCTTAGAGTGCTACACAATTTCAGCCAAACATTCAAATGCTCGACCCATGACCATACACCATGTAATGTTTCCATGCATCGTTGAACTCCTTGAGCGCGTCAGGCATTTGGTCCATATGTCCATCCTCGACCGTCTGGAGATATCCTTCATCCAAGATGGATATATGTGCTTCAAGACTATCCCTGAGTACTTTGTACCCATTAGTCTTCTCGTTTATAGTCTACGGCGTAATCAGATTGAAACTTTGTAGTGACATTAAGCATGCCGTACCTTGGTTTTCTCAAAAAATAGATGGGAAATCTCAGAAACTGCTTTGAGGGGATCCTGTCTCATAGCATCTACCTGTGAGATCAGAAAACGTTTCGAGGGTTAAGCGGTTACAAACCGAGCCACTTGTCGTCTACTGCACGTGAAGCTTTCTTGAAATGTTCCTTGAGATAGAAAAGAACCGTCTGGTAGTTGTCACTCTCTGGAGAAGCGAACCTGACTAAGGTTTGATGGTCACTGTAGTACCTGGCCCGCAGCGCCGCTGTCACCGGATGACTGCCTCGTGAGCTCGAACGTTCTATGACTTGTTTTAGCCAGCACGTTCTCCAGGGTTTTGATACTCCAGCTTCCTTCGAGATTTCCGACAAGTCTCGTATTCCGCGTAGAAGAATACGTTTTTTGCTTCTTGCTCACCTCGAGATACAGCTTCTGTATGTTTTCAAGTTCGGATGAGTACGGCTGAAGGACTTTGAGAATGACGTTTGTCGTATACATGGGTATTGATAGAAGGCGATCAGTTGTCCCGGGGAGAGGATCTTCTATGCCAAAATGGGGTGTTCCGAAGAACAGGATGGAGTAGGTAGATACAAGAATATCTCGGAGATTGCCATCTGAATTCGGGTCTTTATTGTTGGAGATTACGAGCGCCTACAAGAACGTCAGTGCTACATTTGTATCGAGCCTTGTTCATACGAACCCATTTGAGGATAATACCTCCCACATCGTGGGCAACGAATATGATTGGGCGCTAATGATGGTTCATCAGACACCATCGAACTAGCAAGATTCACTCACTCGAGAAGCGCCTTTACGCGCCCGTGAAAGAGCATTGGCTAGGTTATTACCGTGCCGATGTATGGTCTCGGTTGATACACGTTCTCGACTGTGCGTATCGGCGTCATATCCGTAAGAGAGGACTCGAACACGAGGCAAGTCGTCTTGCAGGAAGTCGCGCAGCCACATTTTTCCATCTTCTGACGTCCACGTTTTTTCTCTGTGGCCGTTCAAGCCGTGGATGGCGACAATGCTGATGCGGCGACGTCAGCGGTTAAGTTGTAATGACGGGCGGACTGCGTACTCGACAACAGGATTCTCTTCTGAGAATAACTCGAGAAATCCAAGATCATCGATCTTTGATTTGCCCTCATCCGTAGAGGTCCACCATTCCCACAGGGGTGCCATTGCAGAAGTTGATTGTTCGGTGGCCATCTGGAGAATGTTCCAGTAAGTACCAGTGGTCATTGGCAAGTATTATATGGTACCGCCGAACAGTTCAGCGTCTAGAGCTGGTGACAGGGCCGGAGAGTGGCAATCCGAGCCAGCGTCTCCATTACTTCCTTTTGCAGCGACCCCTACGATAAGGATCGCCCAATTGGCTTTCTGGCCTGCAATAATGGGTGTGTATAACACGCATCTTTTGCTGGTTAAGCCAACTGATCGAGACCTTCCTCATGGAGTTGCGACGACAATGCGACCGCGTCTCTGGTTCACCTGGAGAGTCGCCCTCGAACATTCAAGCCTTCGCTGTTCAACGTAGAAGACTATGCGCATCCGACATCCACGCCGCCTCACCTCGGGCGCCCAGCGGTATTCAAGGCTCAGAAAACTAGTGGAGGACAGACGTCTCGTTTGAAGATGGTCACTGTGGACGAATTTCTGCATACTCGAAGCAATTAATTTCATCGAATTGCACTCCTTGGTCCGTCGTTGGTTCTGCTCGAACCAAGGAGACGCTGCTTTTGTATGGGCCGCCACTTTCTCTCGCCTAAAGAGGTTATAAAACTCGACAAAGGAGACGCTCAGAAATAGCAAATAAATGAGCCTGTTGAAGCATATATTTCACAATGGCATACATATTAGCAGGTTGACAATTTGGTGACCCCTTTCGAGAGATGCTGGCACTTACTAGTAATGCAATGACAACCCCTTGGTACGCACTACACTTCCGCCACTCGGCTGAATGCACGCAGCCGTTCTCTTCCTTGGGTTCAGCCGTGTTAGAGTGAGCGAAAGAAGCAGTGTGATGCCACCAATTTATACGACGACTAATAACGACCGTGTCGCCACAGCCCCACGGAGATTTTGTTGAAAAGCGCAGAGCGGGTCTGTTCGAGTTGTTTACAGATCAGCCGAGCCTTTGCACGCGGAGGTTGTTTACTGAAAACGTCACAAACTCATCTGTCATTATGATCGGATTCTCGACGAGCAAGAATAGATTTTGATGGATACATCTGGAAGCGAATCTGCCGACAGGGGTTCCACAGGAAAGACGTAGGTGGTCTATAGTCTTCTTTGGCGAGCCCATGGCTGGCATTACGCGCTCGTCAACGTGGGCGTCGAGTCCAAGCGGCACCTCGCAAACTTTGGGCTCGACCATGTCCCAAAGGTCCTTCTAACACCCCTTGAGGCAAAGTTCAAGGCATTCCCGCAAGCACTACTTGAAACCCACACCAAACATCTTACCGTCATAACGGACGATAAACCAAACGCCAGTAGAACTGCAACACCTGGCCCCGCCCACGACCACGCTGCATCCTTTTTGCCGCCGAGCATCACCACAACCACAAATAATGCATCCCAGACGCGCTTCGACCACTCTTCCTTGACGTGACGCACAGCCTTTGGTTTTGAGGAGAGGGCGCACATGTCGAGTGCGTGTTGTGAGCGTTTGGACGGCTTCAGCTCGCTAACAATTCTTTTCTTCTTAATCTAGGCACGTTCGAATCGCGGTAGATTGTACGCATTGACGCAATTATCGACGCCCAATGTATAAAGCGCGAGCACACGCGCAAGCCAATGGAACAGCAACGACACTCGTACTATTTTCCGACCAATCCCGTGGCTCCCCCACGGAAGGAGGGGCTGCGGATAGGCGCCTTCGGTGTGATATGAACCATCGATGACAGTCTGCAGCCTCGAGAGCCAAGGGAGCAACCAAAAGTCGGATAGCGTTCAAATTTTGGCCCGTCCAGTCATCGATCCAAAGTCATCCAGAGCGCACGAGGAAGCCACAGTGAGGTACGTACTTTGGAGAGCGTTCATGCGGACAAATAGAGCTAATATGTGGTTTTTTTTAACTCATATAGTGGCAAAAACGACGACGATACAAAACCAGCGCAGATCTTTGAGCAAAGCGGGAGACGCTTTCTCGGAGGGGAGTGGTCTGGTCCGCCGACGAGAGCATGATGCATCATGCAGGACACGCTCAGGGACGCCAGTCTCTTATCAACAACACCCATCTTGTCGATTCCTCCCAGCTCTATCATCACCTCGTTTATCCACATCCCGTTAGCCAGCACAACACGTTTAGTACAAGGTATGCAAAAGACCACACAGATGTTTCATCGTACTAACTGGCCTAATAAAGGAATCAGATCCAGCGTCATTGTGGTTGACTCTCCTCACCCGCCGGCCTTCAGAGGATCGTCAAGGTGCTCGCCAAACCACTTTCCGGCAACACGAATTCAAAAACGGACCCTCGTTACTCAATTCAATCCACGACGGCACCCGCCGCATCTACGCATCCCTACCGAATGTTGTCGTTTTGGACGGACGACGCGAGAGCTGCTAGCACCTAGGCATGGAAGATCATAAATGAATGAAAGTACGTCATTGTTGATTTTAGACGGGCTGCTGACCGTCTCTGTATATGCAGTGGTGGCGTCCAACAGACGCTTATTTGGGCCCCGCAGCTGCGTCAAAAACCTCGAACGGCTCTTCTCGATTGCCTCTGGAGGTAGTTGACACACGTGGCCGACGCAACACGATCCCGGATCGTCAAGACCAGTAAGCACCCTTTTTCGACGGTCGGCGTTATGATTCGACCTGTAGACGACGCTTGTATCCCCCCGCGGCTCGCTCCATACCTACGATGGTGACGCACGGCGACCGCTCATCTGCGCTCTACGACCGATCTCGCCAACCCTCGACTACCGGCGGCTCCCGCAGCACCAGGATGAACACGGACCAACTACATGGGCATACAAACAGCTATGCGGTTGTCCGCAGCTGTTTGCTCAACATAGCCCAATTTGCAACAATGATTACAGCCGATAGTGATCCCATGGACACCTTTCTAGTCTTGCCACGAGTCTGGGGGGGAAAGTAAAATTTTGAAATCTGGTCAATTGACAAGGGAAACTCTCGAATATTTTTTTTTTTCAGAATAACCCTAAACGCAGTCAAAATGCGTGTATACACAATAGCCCGAATGAATACAACATCGTTTCCCAGCTTGCGCGTGGCGATTTGCCCGAAGTTAGATCCCCTGACCGTAACGAAGCGGGAATGGTCTTACAAGCCTTCACCAGGCACAGTAATTGAAATGTCTGCACAATTTTCAAGGACTATTTGGCTCCTTGTCAAACTGCGGCGGTCACCAGAAAGCCCCTCTCGAGCCTTTGTCCTAAGCCTTCTTTTCCCTGGCTCGAGCTCACTGGCCTCCCCTCCGACCTTGCGCTCTCAATGCATATCAGTAAACTTTGTCAGCTTATTTTACAGGCTGACTGCAACTTCTTGGCTTATTCCCCCTGGTTTCTTGGCTTCAGTACCAATGCCGAAGGCAAGTCAAGCTTGCCCACCCTTCGCTCAAAAATTCTCGGTTCTATCGGTATCTTTCGACATTTCTGCTTACTAAGGAAGCCGCAACGCGGCCATTGGCTTTCCTCTCACCCGATCCCCCGCCTCGCCACATCCATCTCATCGGAAACATTGATGAATATCCGGGCCCTTTCATCCGATTTCGCTGAGTTTTGTTACATGCGCCAAATTCTCACCACTACATTCTCCCTATCATTATGGATTGTACTGACACTCCCGAGACAACATCCTCCCGCTCGAACACGTTCAGTTTGGCTTCAAACTCTACTCACCGCTGACTTCTTTCCTGTATAACTGTCTAATTTTCCACCTCAAAGTGCGTCAGACTTCTTGATACCCCTGGACTTACTCACTGCCTGTAGGTGTTGCCGGCGCTGCCTGCAAATGCGTCCACCGCCTCTCTCAACCTTGGACTCGCCCATCTCCTTCATGTCTGGAGATATGTAAGTTGGAATATTTGGAAAATATCTAGACACTGACAACGTCATAGCACTCGTTCAAATCTCCTCCCGTCGTCCAAAGAGGCTGAACTTCTTCATAACTTGCGCGCACAAAAGTCGACTGAGCTGGCTCTCATTGACGAGAAAATGTTGCGTGATCGACAGATTGTCGTGAGTGCCGATGCAGCCATCGGCAAACTCGAAAAGTCGTTGACTAAGGCACGCGAGATGCTGCGTGTATACGAAGAACACACCAGCCAAATCAAGGGAACACTTCGCACACTCTCCTTTAGCTCGACGCGGACAAACGTACATTCCGACGCACTAGAACCGTGCAAAGAACTCTCGCTGCTCCTAAGTCAGGAGATTCCAGAGCGTGAGAAGAAACTCCGGACGGAGACGCAGGAGATTGCAGTATTCTGCGACCGACTCAAGATCAATATTACCAATCTCGCCGAGGAGCTGCGATGTCAGAATCATACGCATGCGGTCGCTCTCGAGACCGTTGCGGCGAGGACCAATCACCGCGGCGAGCTCCAGGCTTTGGTCGATAACATCCAAAGCTGTTTTCACCCTATCAAAAAGGTTCCCTCAGAGGTCTGGGCGGAGATTTTCCGTCTGCGTGTCGAGGAGGATGACCAATTGTTCCTCGCATCCGGCTCTGAGGACCGTCGCTCGACCACATTCACACTCTCTCACGTGTGCCAACCGTGGATTAAGGTCGTCCACGAGACTCCAGAACTCTGGAGAGTGGCTGACTGGAGGGTCGGTAGAGACGGCAATGTCAAGGCGGACATGATTACCTATATGCGGGAAAAGGTGCGGGATCAACCATTTACTGTCATCGTGGATCAATGGCAGCTGTATCCGACATCACTCCTTTCGACGCAAGACGTTTTAATGATGAGCCACGCGCTGCAAGAGTACACGCTCCACTTGTTTGCAAACGAAAGGGACGAAAAGTTTGCACCTCCTTCATATTAACCTATCTTCTTCTCCCCATCCGCGTGGTCGTCCAGGTTCCCGGCCTGGAACCGCTTCACTCAACATTCGTCTACCGCAACCTCGTCAACTCGTACGCCAATGTGAAGAAGCTCACACTCGTCAACATTTTCCCCGCACTCGCCTTTAGCGAACCCTTCCGACAACTAACCTATCTCAAAGTTGAAACCGCGACCGACACGCAGCCCTACAATCTGTCGCAACTCATGGTCGAGAGTCTGGAAGAGCCTCCATCTCTCGCATAGTACGCGGTCGAATCTTCCGTTTATCGGACACGCCATTACGCTTCCCAACTTGCGGAAACTTGCGACCACGCCGCACGATCACGAACTCCTCAAACAGGTCCGTCTTTCTGCACTCACTCACCTCTACATCACGTATCCGCACCACGGTGACGGCGTCGAGACCACTCCATGGCTTGAGACGCTCATTAGTGCCAACTTTACAACCGGCCTCACGCACCTAGTGCTCGACTGGTCGTACGTGTTGAAGGTTCACCCTTTGACTCTTAGCGCTCACTAAATAGACTTAGCCAATAGTAATAGCTCACGTCGTAACTCAATGTATTTAAGGACGCGGGATGACACAGCCAGACCTTACTGGTCTTGCCTCTCACCTCACGCGTCCTAGGTTTGTTACACCATATATACTGGTCTTGCCTCTCACCTCACGCGTCCTAGGTTTGTTACACCATATATACTGGTCTTGCCTCTCACCTCACGCGTCCTAGTATCAACAGATCCAGCCTTGGACTCTGTATTGACCTTCTGATGGACGAATCCCGCTTTGTATCCTGGTCCAGTCGACGACCCGCGGCCAGTTTGATAGCGGTGCAGGTGCTAGTCAGCATGTCTCTGCAACTTGATGACCTTACAGACACTGAGCGTGCAGATATCCCTGCCGGCCAAATCTGAGCAGAGACGGTTGGGTTCAAAGTCGAATTATGATGTCCGCCTTTAATTGCAAGCCAAGGCTCCTGGGTGATAACGTGGGTATCTGCATCTATATGAGAGCACTCTCAGAAATCAATCCATCATATCCACCATGGCTCGCGGCTACGAAGGAGTTCGTTCTGACCGGGATCCATTCGTAGATTAAGCGCCATGAGAAGATGTCAAAATGACCAAAATGTATTGAAGAAAGCTATAACCTAAAATCCCAAATATCGAAGTATAAAGCGGCCATAAGATGAACCCCTATGCAGCCAAAGAGCGAGCCTACTCCTCGTTTCTGACGCGGTTGAGCTTTGCGACAGCAATAATAATGACACAAATAGAGATGAGAATCCCGAATTCGGGTGCGTCTAAGAATAGAGCGTGAACGACCGCATCGATTATTCGAGAGTCAGTCTGACCTGGTAACAAAGAGCGAATCGCTGGGAGTGCAAAAAGGGACGTAAAGACGACACCGAATACGTCGGTGCTCTGTATATTTTTTTTCAGAATGGGTGAGTTGGGTCATAGAAGAACGCACGTGGAGCATGTATCCCCGACGCAGGATAACCGTCTCACATGTGAGGACAAATATGAATATAGGTGAAGTCCAATTGACGATCTGAGGGACTGTCAGCGCAGGAAGATATACGGCGTCAGGCCCGACTTACGAGTGCCATCACAACAGAGAACCTGACAAGCGGAGGACGGCTTCCCTTGATATTAATCTCCTGTCGAAGCGTGAGTTTGATGGAGAGCATGTCACAAACGCGCACCAGATAGCATGAAAAGTTCCACTGCGAGATATTCGCATCAGAAAACATGTTTAGAAGTTGACTTAGCTCTTCTTCTGATTGTTTAGACATTCCTGGGAACAGCTGGCCAACGACGTCGGTAACTGTGGGGCAATAGGGACTCGGTTCTGGATCCAGTTCAAAGCGCCAATTGACTAGGTATCATGATGAGCACATAATAAAGTATACTATGCTGACGCGCGTGTGTTATCAGATAGCCGTGCGGCGCTGGTTAGCTCAGAGGGCGGTATGGTTGATAGCGGGGAAGGAAGCAAAGGGCACAAAAATGATGCTACCCGTCCATTAGTCCCGTATTTAAGAAAGTATCCGGTACTTCTGCACACGTACCTTGTCCCATGGGTACCCAACCAGCGGCTTTGACGGGACGTTGCCGTTTCGGTCCGTTTGCTGAAAGTCAATCTCGGTGGAGAAACTATCATACGGGTTTCTAGAAGCCTTTAGAGTCGTTCTAATCAGAATTGAATACATCCAGCCCGATAACGCCGGCGCTTGGCGTAGAGGCGTTGTTCAAAATATAGCGCCAGACGGTGGTGTTGTCGTCCAGGACTCTACGGTGTATCGTCGTACCCGCGTCACGGTAGATTATAAGAGGGTGCGGCCAGTTGCCGAAACAGCCATTGGCGAGTGGGACAGGTTCCATCCCCGGGAAGTCGCGCCATATGCCAGACCAGGAGACCGCTGAGTGAAACCAGTCAGGTCTCTTAGGTGTAGGAAATGAAGGCATACTTAGAGTACGAACTTCCTGATCGAATCCTTTCAACGTGCCGTCAAGGGCGCCCTGCGGCTAATGAGGACGCGAGAGGAAACAGAGTTAAGGAACCCGTAAACTTCCGTTGGCTCCGTTACGCTCATTCTGACGAGCTGCTCGTTCAAAGATGAGATCTCGCTGGCGGCCGAATTGCTGTTCCTCATTCGCGTAACGAATGCTGCAGCGCGGAGGAGGCGGCGTAAGCAGGGACGAATTGAACAGTTTTGAGAATGTACGTGATTCCAATCCAAAGAACTATAAACATGACGCAGATAGCGACATAGAGGAGGCGTGGCCACTTCTATCCGCGGATCGATTCTGTTCACAGCGTCTTCCACCAGCGAAGGCGGTAGCGTGGATGCATAGCAAAAAACTCTTTAAATATACGTGGGTCGTCAATACGCTCCTCGTAGTAATGTAGCGCGTATGGCTTGTCGTCGGAGGGTGTGTCAGCCTTAGGGGAAGGTCATCTCGTTAATCAGTGGCTCTACGAAAGACAGTCAGGATTCTTTCATTGCTGATGATAATTATTACATACTTTCAGAGGCCATGCTATGCGACTTATAAAGGTGGCAAAAAAAAAAAGGGAACAAAGAGGCGATCCACAACCAATTTCTCGACTCGACGCCAATTGCATTTAGACAGCCAACCTCTCGGAATTCAAATAACCTTGCCGTTTCCAATTGCAAGCTCAGTCTTTCGCTCGCCACCGTCCTCTCACTTTATAATACCCGTGCGCTCGTCCGCTGTCCAAGTGATTGGACTGTTGAAGGTTTACTCTTTGACTCTTAGCACTCACTAAATAGACTTAGCCAATAGTAATAGCTCACGTCGTAACTCAATGTATTTAGGGACGCGGGACGATGCGGATGGACCTTAGGTCTGCCGGTAAGAGTCAACTCAGTGGATGCGAATCATGAGGCTACAAAAGACGACTCATAGTAAACAAAATACTCTCTATTTTACACTTATTGTATTTGAAATAGAAGAGATGCGCTCAGCTAGAACTGCCAACGATATTACACGTTCCAGGAGAGTAATATTTTATATAAATTCAGAGCACATGCGCATATACTATAAATAGTCAGGCGTGTAGTGATATTACCACACCGCGCTAATTCCGTGCACAGGCAAGTGCCGAAAGTAGCAAGACATTTGGGTGTAATTTCCAACGGCTCGCTAGCATTTTACTGATCCTAATGTATATATTAGAAGCATACCTAAGTTTCTCAGACATGTAAGAGACTTGAGAGCAAGCCCCCGCAGCTCCAGAACCGAGAGTTGGTGATACCGGAGGCCAGGGAAGTATAGTCGACTACTTATTTGTGATGTTGAAATAATCAATATGACGTTCCTTGACTGTGTGAACAATACCGAGCTCTTTGGACATCCCTGTGACGGTTTCTTAGAAACGAGGACTCTTTGATAGCGTGCTGGTGCCATGGGCGGCGGTTCCAAATCCAGTTCAAATTCATATGCAGTATTTATAAAATATCCTTCTATTATTAGAATGTTTATCTCGCCACCCTACGCTCATCTAAGGCACTGGCTAGGCCAACTTGTTACCCCCATGTCTCCGTCAAATCAGCGCGGCTGTTAATTTTGGAAAGGATGCCACGCTAGGCTATTTTTGGACTATATAAATAGTATAGACTTGATCCCCCAAACCGAAACTGCTGGCGAGGTGGGTTCTCGCCGAGGAGCACACCTAACGATTTGATTGGGCGCTCTGAACACAACATAACGTAATTTTCCATTCAATTATACTACTCATCGCCCTTTACATGTTCCAACACCCAGAGTGCTTCGGGTGTAAAATGCATTGGGACCAGCCTGTTTTCATCATCATGCTACTCTTTGTTGAGTTTTACCTGTGACATGATCAGTCATTGCATCGAGCTAGAATTTAGCGAGCTTACAGGCTCCTTCTTATCTGCACTACAGAGTTCCCAATGGCCCCTCCTACCGGGCTCGTAGATACTATAGAGCCGAGGTAAATAATGAATGATCGTGAATAGAACTAGTTTCCTACGCGTAGAGAATACGAGGATCAGAACCAATGAACACTGGCTGAAGGAACCAATGAACACCCTGGGCCGATTGTTTCTCGAGGCTAATGTAGAATCGTTTCGACACTTCCGTGATTGGTCCTCCACCGATGGCAGGAGCATTTGCAGATTCGGCATAAAGGGTGTGTGAGTTATCAGCGTTCAGAGCGACAGTCCACTAAAGAGGCGTCAGAGGTATCATGCATGGATGGAAAGAAAAGCTCGCAATAAGCTCCTCGGAATGTGAGTTGCCCTTGGCTCCCAACGAACCATCGTCGTTGCGGATAGGGCCAAATTTGACGTTTCTGATCCTGTACTTGCCAGAGTTGACGATGGGGACAAGAGCCATTGTGTGATATGTCGATGAAAGTGGGCTTTCTGTGAGATACAGTGTCAACCATTTCGGCTCCTTATAGCCGCAGGGTAACTCCTGGCAAGGTCCAGATCTCTCCCTGTATCATCGTCCCTCCGTCCTCTTGAATTCTTCACTTCTAGACCGACCCTCATGTCACTAGCTCTGTATTCACCTCCAGGATGTTGAAAATGCTGTGATGGCCTCTGCTCTTGTGTGGTATCGAGATGCGTGGTGACGCCAAAAATTTCAGAGTGCAGGAGTGAATCTATCGCCCTTTTACAATGACAGGCGCAATACTGTTGGAGTGAGGTAGCTATTGGCATGAGCGGCTGGAAAGGTTCTGTAAGGTTTTTGGTGAGAGTGAAGACGTTGTGAACGTCGAGTCGAGACTTTGTATTCGAGGAACGATGAATAAAGTCGACTTTAGACGAAAAGAACCTGTGTAACGCGTGTATATTGAGGACGGTTACAAGGGAGTACAAGTCTACTCTTCTGATACGAGAACGGTCAAGTACTACAGGCTATATAGAGGGTGTGGAAATAGATCGGAAGGAATGGAGGAACTGAGGATGTAAATCGGGACGAGCAGAAGGCATCTGACTCAGGTATAGGGGTAAAAGAGTGACGATGGTCAGAGGACCATAAGGAACAGAACGGGAACAATGTAGCGAATGGAGATGGTAACTAGGACAAGGACTAATGCGATGAAGAATAATCCCTGATTCGCACGAGGTAGCAGCGTCGTGCAGAGCAGACGCGCGAGCCTACAGGTTCATACCTTGTCTCGTGAGCCTACGCAAGCTTTGTGATTTCTGACGGGTCAGGTCCTCCATGCCCATTCTCGTTATTGAGCACCTAGACTCAATGAACTATTCGGCGCCCACACGGTACGGGACGTATGCTATGATTCCCTAGTGCACTGGGCCTGAGCCTGGGCTATCGGACCTGACCCAAGGTCCAGACTTTAGCGTGATTTAAGGACTGAGTTTGCCTTTCACGGATGTAAATGCTGTCATCCATGAATTCTTAGCGCCTAGAAATCTGTACAGACCCGGAGACACCAGTCTTGCACATGACTTTCGAAGATGGCGGTTCTGAATGGTACAAGGAATGGGGCCTACACTTCCGATACATACCTAGCATCTGGCCAATTAGACCGAGACATGATCGCGGGGCGAGCCACGGGCTAGTAGTCCTGCTATGTCTGCACCATTTAGCTGGTGGACAATAAACCGGTGGCATCGTAATAAAACCTGTACTTCAGATGTATGAGCTTACCAAACGTTTGGTTACGCCGAAACGTAAGACTCGCCCAGCGTTCTTTCTGTTCAAAGACGATGGCAAAAAGGAATTTTCGCAAGGTGGATAGGTTCACTTATTCAAATCAAGAAAATGATATGACAGTAAAAGCAGCTATTATTCCAGCCTATTCGTCACCTTTTACATGCTCAAAGACCCAGAGGGCCTCTGGGGTAAAGTGCGTCGGAACAGGCTTGTTCTCGTCATCAGTGGGTTCCCTGTTGAGCTTTACCTGTAGGAGAGTGAGTTATGCGATAGATATAGAAGATGAATGTACAGGCTCTTTCTTGTCCGCGCTGCAAAGTTCCCAGTGGCCCTTCCTTCTGGGCTCGTAGATGCTACAGAGCGTTGAGTGATGGATGAGTGATAACGTAGAGCAGATATCGTACGCGTAGAGGATACGAGGATCTGATCCGATGAACACTGGCTGGAGGAACCAACCGACTGGTTGGGCGGATTGATTCTCGACGCTGATGTAAAAACGATTCGGGACCTCGGTGATAGGGCCTCCAACGACTGCAGGGGCACCCACAGCCTGTAGAGTGTGCGAGTTGTCGGCGTTTAGGGTGACATTCCACTGAGGTCAAGTTTGAGAATGTCCGATATCTGGATGAAATGAAGAACTTACGATGAGACTGTCGCACTTTATTGTGCCTAGGGCTCCCAACGAGCCCTCGTCGTCACGAATGGAGCCAAATTTGACGTTTTTGATCTTGTATTTGCCTGAGTTGATGATGGGGATCAGAGCCATTGTGCTATATGTGCTGAGAATGGGCTATGTGAGACACAGGACAAAATTGTACCAATCTCCCCGGTCTTTTATAACCGCTTGTTCCTCCTGTCGCGGTCCAGATCTTCCTTTATATCACCTTGTTTTATGGCCCCCTCTACCTCTAGACCCACTCTTTATCAGTAGTTCTGTATTCATCTCCACCAGATTGAAAGTGCCTTTACAGGCTCGGCTACTCCGGTGTAGTGCTAACATATGGCTACGTGCAAACATCTTCGTTTTGTGAGCAAACGCGTCACTCAATCTACGATGAGAGATACGATACCTCTGGCGTGTGTTGACTGCTGGCATGGACGGGCGAAAAGGCACCCATACTGTCGGAAGGAGCACACACGGGGCACTTGATTCTTGATAGAGTCGATATAGGTCGTGTGATAGCTCTACTGTCAAAGCTCTTCTCCTTCCCCGTTCTCGCGTTTAGGCGCTTAGACCCAACGAATCATTTGGCGCCCATGATTTACAGGAAACATGCTATGAATTCTCTAGTGTACTCGACTTGCGCCTAGGCTGTCGGGCCTGACTCAAGCTCCAGACTTTGGTCCGATAGACGGGTTGCGTTTGCCATTTACGGATCTAAAAGTTGGTTTTATTGAACCCTCTGCGTCCATAAACTCAGAGAAACCCATAAATGTGCACTCTTGCAAAAGGTCTTTGAAGGTCATGGGGCAAGCCGAACGATAAGGGCCTCTCCGCTGCCCTATGACCACATCTCGAGCGAGTTTGGCGGTATATGGGTGGCACTGAAGCACAATTCACACCTCAAACCTGTGTAATTACCGGTTTATACAGTCACTTTTGACATGGTCGCTCATAAGACTTGCCGGTGCTCATTCCTGTTCCGGAACGATGGCAAAAGGAATCGTAATGGCCACTTATTCAATATAACCAAATATTGAAACAGTGAAGCTGACTATTATTCAAGTCTACTCGTCACCTTGTACATGCTCAAAGACCCAGAGGGCTTCCGGGGTAAAGTGTGTAGGAACAGGCTTGTTCTCATCGTCACTGGGCTCCCTGTTGAGCTTCACCTGTACGCGAGTGAGTTGAGAGGTCAATGAAGAAGTGGACGACGTACAGGCTCCTTCTTGTCCGAGCTGCAAAGTTCCCAGTGTCCCTTTCTTCCGGGCTCGTAGATGCTACGGAATAATAAGTCAAGTATGACGATTATGAGGAGTATAACGTACGCATAGAGGATACGGGGGTCTGATCCGATCAAAACTGGCTGGAGGAACCAACCGACTGGTTGGGCGGATTGATTCTCAACACTGATATAGAAACGCTTCGAGACTTCGGTGACGGGGCCTCCAATGACGGCAGGGGCAGTCGCTTCAATGGCCGTCAGCGTGTGCGAGTTGTCCGAGTTGAGAGTGATCTGCCACTGGAATGGCGTCAAAAAAAGAACAAGGTCTAGACGTGGTAAGAAACGTACAACGAGCTCCTCAGACTTGGAATTTCCTTTGGCACCCAAAGCACCCTCATCGTCACGAATGGCGCCAAACTTGACGTTTCTGATCCTGTACTTGCCAGAGTTGACGATGGGAATAAGAGCCATTGTGTGATATGTAGATGAGAGTGGGGATTGTGTGAGACACGACGAGGAAAGGGTGCACCCTGCCCTCTCCTTTATAGACGGTGCAAGTTCCTATCTGGGCCAGATCGCATATTGCATATGGCATCCTCCACTCTCGACTTCGAGGCCTCATATAGAGTATATTGTATTCCTTGTGGGCCCACGGGCGCCCCTGCTTAGACACACTGCCAGAGAAGTGGTCTGGGCGGATCGCGGGTTCGTACAGTGAAAGAACCCTAGAGACAATTTTGAGCAATGGGTGACTAAAATCAACCATTTTGATGAAATGGACCCATAGTGAGCATACGCGACGCTGCTTGCGGGGTGCTGGCGATTCGCGATGGCGGCTGGCCAGGGTCGTACCCTGTTCCGAACGGACATGCGCAAGCTCCGCAAGGTCTGAGTAGACTGTGTGATGATTCGCTGACAAAGTGTCTTCTCTAACCCACGTGCCTCCTTCGGTCGCTTAGATTCAAGGGATTAGATGCCACTCACGTTAATTAGACACACATATGCCTATGCACGAATATATTCCCGACGTGCCCAGGCGGTCAGAATCGGCCGCGGCCGAGACTTTGGTCCGTTGACAACTGAACACTCCATTCACGGGGTTCGCCGTCTCTCTATGCAGAATCTCGATGAATTGGACTGTAAACGCAACATCACGCCATGTAATTCGCGAATCTTGGAATCGGGCGGTTCGGGGTGGCGAGCTGGCACCAATCGCCAGAGAGGATCAGGCGGCCTCAATTTCTGAGAAATATATTCATGTGATGTACCGTTAAAGTGGTTGAGACCACCTGACAGAATTCAAGTTCATGGCTAGGCCGGGTAACAGCAGCTGCCCGACACCGAGAGGCTTCGTAGACATATCAAAGTACCCCAAAATGTTCAGATATGGGCAGGGTTACAAGCCTGGATGAGGAACGAGGCCACCACGAACTGGAAATCCGTCGGAAAGGGGGCGAGACGACGACAATGAGGATGCATTCGCCTTCATCTCGCCATATGTGGTTATTATTACAAACGGTCTTATTCGTGGAGTATCCCGATGATCCCAAGTTCAAGCCGAGACGCTCTCGCAGTCCCGAAACATCTGTCTCCTTTCCCCTTTCCCAGTACTGCCGTGACCTCCTACTTTCCTACGAGATGAACAGCAAGATTTCTCTCCTACTGCCGCGCCATCCAAGTAGCTTGCTTTTTGACTTGCAACCACCTCGGACGCGTTGAAACCAGTGGCCTCGGCGTCGCACTCCAAGTTGCTTAAAACAACAAGGAACTCCTTACAATTATTGCGATGGCAGAGGATGAGCAATCGTCGGGATGGCAATTGACAGAGTCGGATCCAGGCGTCTTCACGTATGTTCGTTGCTCAATTCTCAGAATATAATACTAATCTCGTTCTGTTCCCTGTATTACTTTATACCTGGTGTGCTTGTTTCTCCCATTGACTTGCCAATACGCGACGCGCGTCTTTGTGGAATGCACGGCGACGCGAATTCTATCAAATTGGAACAAACAGAAACCTTCTCAAGCTTCTTGGAACGCCATTGGTTATGGATGAACTATACTCGCTCGACTATGGGACCATTGCATCCGACCCGCTGACTTCAGCCTCGCCAATCAATGCGCTCATTTTTCTCTTCAAGTGGACAGCAGAGCGAGAGGGAGATGATCCGACCGAAAGTGGTGCTCGTGGGCCTCGGACAGGCGGTGTTTACGATCCAGAGTTTGGAGAAAAGGGCGGTTTCTACGCAAAGCAGGTACAGAACACCGTGCAGTTTACTCTAAATCTGATCATACATCAAGGTTGTCAACAATGCCTGCGCTACATTGGCCATTGTCAATGCTTTGGGCAATCTACCTGGATTGCAGGTCGGACAGGTTTTGCAAGACATTTTCAACTTTGGAGTTGGAATGGACTCGTGGGTCCGCTCTTTTTCATGCTGTCTACCTACGGTAGCTTATGACCGCAGACACTAGGGGAAGTTTTGACTTCGTCCTCGGATTTACGGACAATCCACAACTCTCTCTCCCCTCCATCCGCCATATCACTCGACGGTCTTGATCTGCCCAAGGGAGAAGCAGAGGACGCGTACCACTTCGTGGTCTACCTCCCCATTGGCGATACGCTATACGAACTCGATGGGCTGAAGCGACATGCCGTAAACCATGGAACGTTTTCTGAGAATGCCGACTGGCTAGAGCGTGCTCTCGCAGTCATTCAAAGACGCATTGAGTTATACCCCCCGGGTTCGGTATGTACACTGGTCCACCAGAGTTGAATATCCTAACGAAATCTTCTCCAGGTCGAGTTTAATCTCCAAGCGATTCGTCCGGACCCGTTGCCAATCCTTACGTCGTCCAGTCTACCACCGCAACTCACACAAGCCGACGCCCGTGAGCTGCTATTCGCCGAGGAAGCCAAGCGGAAACGATGGGAGTTTGAAAATGCACTGCGCCGTCACAACCATCTCGGACTGGCGGTTGGCCTCTTGGAGGCTCTCGCCAAGGCGTCGCTCGCCGCTGGAGTATCGCCAGATGGAATTTCTCTGTGGGATAAGACGATATCCGATTCCAAGGAGAAGATGAAGGTGAGGATTGCAAAGCGCAGGGAGATGCTCGCCATGGCGGGCAAGGGTGGAAAAGAGGCCATGGACCTCGATGATTTGTAGACATTCCGATATCTTGAATAAATCTATTTCCTGTGATATCTCTTCGTTCTGTCCAACCCGTCTTTCCAAACTTGACCTCTGCCACAGGAGACGCGTCGCGTCGTTGGCTCTTGACGACAACGAGACCGCGGATTATCACTAATCAACGTACAAAAAGCCACCATGTCGATGAATATCTTTAGTCAAGAGGTAATGGCGGGTTGATCAGCACAAAGATTTTGCTAACGCGCATTTTCTGTCAATCCAAACGCGTCCAACTGCATATATTGCGCCTTTATCTGTTGAATATGTTGTGGATCTCTCCTCGTCGTCGTCGTAACGAACGAAAATGGCCCAGGCCACCGAGGAACGATCCGAGTCGGCGCGTTTGTCGTCCTTTGTCGGCGCTCTGGCGATTGGAGACGTTGTAAAGACGACTCTGGGTCCAAAGGGAATGAACAAAATCCTCCAGTCGGCGTCGACTGGCGAGATCCAAATCACAAATGACGGCGCGACTATTCTCAAGAGTATCCAGCTCGATAATCCTGCTGCAAAAGTGCTTGTAAACATATCAAAAGTGCGTCTTTGCTATTATACTACACTCCGCTCATTGCTTTCTATCGCATTCCAGGTTCAAGATGACGAGGTCGGCGATGGAACAACCTCTGTCTGCGTCCTTGCGAGTGAGCTTCTCCGTGAAGCAGAGCGTCTTGTTCGTCTTCACTCCTCTATCTGAAATCTGCGTCTGATTTGCCTGCAGGTTGGCGGTGATGGTCACCGCGTACACCTCAAACTGTTGTAGAAGGATTCCGTCTTGCGAGTCGAGAAGCCCTACGGGCCCTTGAGTTGGCCGCTGTTGACAATAGGTACGCTCGCCAAATAGTGAACCGACGAACTATTAGACTCTGGATGACAGCGGCGACAAGGATGCATTTCGAAGAGATCTTGTCAACATCGCCAGAACGACGCTTTCTTCAAAAGTCCTCAGTCAGGACAAGGACTATTTCGCAAATCTTGCCGTCGATGCCGTTTTGCGACTCCAGGTAGGGACTACAGAAGAGTATACTCCGCTGTCTAATACATCTTTAGGGCTCTACAGACCTTGACCACATCCAAATCATCAAAAAGGTTGGCGGGAAATTAACAGATTCCTATCTCGACGAAGGTAGGCCCTTCCTTTGGATGCAAGTCAACGGCTGACGAAACCAGGTTTCATTTTGGATAAGACTCTGCCCGCGAATGGCCCCAGACGGATGGAAAAGGCAAAAATTATGATTGCGAATACCTGTAAGAGAGATGCCCGTCATTCGCCACTGAGCTCTAACTCTTCCAAGCCATGGATACCGACAAGATCAAGGTATTCGGTGCTCGTGTCAAAGTCGATGGAACAGGCAAACTGGCTGAGCTCGAACGAGCTGAAAAGGTACATGGGCTGCCAACGCTAGACGTTGCGCTAACTGTCGGCTCAATAGGACAAGATGAAGGCCAAGGTTGCAGCTATTGCTGCCCATGGTATCAATGTCTTTGTTAATCGACAATTGGTCTACAATTATCCCGAATCCCTGTTCGCCGAAGCCGGGATAATGTGTATCGAACACGCAGACTTCGAGGGCGTCGAGAGGTAAAGCTCTACTCGGAATATTATTTGCTCTAATCATTGCTAGGCTATCCCTCGTGACGGGTGGAGAAATCGCCAGCACCTTTGACCGACCTGATCTGGTCAAGCTCGGTACTTGCGAGCTCATTGAGGAGATTATGATAGGAGAAGACAAGGTAAAAAAGAAAATACTGTCACTTGTCACCATGCTCACCGCCGGTAGCTCATCAAATTCTCGGGAGTGTCTGCCGGTCAGGCTTGTACTGTTGTACTACGTGGAAGCACCACTCAGATGGTTGACGAAGCGGAGAGATCACTTCACGATGCACTCTCGGTCCTCTCGCAGACTGTACAAGAAACACGAACCGTCCTAGGTGGAGGGTGTTCAGAGATGCTGATGGCCTGTGCGGTGGACAACCTCGCAAAGACTGTAGAGGGTAAAAAGTCGCTCGCAGTCGAGGCATTTGCGCGCGCTTTGCGGATGATACCGACCATCCTCGCGGACAATGCCGGCTGGGACAGTAGCGAGCTCGTCGCTCGACTACGCAAACGGCACTTTGAGGGCATTGACGAAAAGGATAGTGCTGGATCGCGGATGGGCCTTGACATGGAGCTTGGTGATATTGGGGATATGCGCGAGCTAGGGGTTACAGAAAGCTACAAGCTCAAGCGACAAGTCGTTATAAGCGCCTCGGAGGCGGCAGAAATGATTCTACGGTAAGATCCATGCTCAGTATTGAATCCATGCTAACAGATCAATCACAGTGTCGACACTATCCTCCGTGCCACCCCGCGTAAGCGTGAAGGTGTCTAGATTCATGTACTGTCAAAGTGAAGAAGCATAGAAAACTCGTTTGGATGACTGTGAGAAATATCGTGGCTACAAAATCAATTTCAGTGGCAATAACGGTACAGGCACCGATAGAGATACAATGTCATAAGCAGTCAGTGTGAATAGAATAAATCCTAACGTCCGTTTACATAGGCCAAAGCAGCGGCGATGAGTTTGGACTCTTCCTCGCGCCAAAGCTGCTCGACAGCTCTCAGCTCGACGTCTCTCTGAGACGGCACGACCTTTTTGGTCATGATGGTAAAGACGCCGCATACTGGCCGATGGTCGCTAACATCCGGCTCGTATCGTCCATACCAGAGGTTTTGGATGCGCGAAGGATCCCGAGTTCGATAGAGGATTCTGTCGCACCATGCTGGAATGCGACGCTTCTCCGAGGTATCATATGTAGTCGAATGGCGGTCGTACTTGTAAGTCGGTGCAAAAGTGATTGGCGCTTCAGAAAATGTGTGAAGCCGGAACGCGGGATTGACTTTGAGTTCGTGAAGTAGTTGATCGTATTGAAGTAAGTGCTCGAGGTGTCCCGCTTGTACATGGTTAATGACAGCATCGCGTCGCAAGTCGATGCGATAGTTGAGATCCCCGTTCAACTGTAGATAATGTCAGAAACTTGATACAGCACAACGCCTCCTACTCACAAAACAGAGTTCGTGGTCTAGGATCATCGAACCATCTCCACCGCCCACATAGGAAAGATACTCGCCAGTATCGGCACTACGTGGATCGGTACTCGATGGGAAGACCGACTTTTCCTCCAATATCGATGCCAGATCCAGGTTCCTTGCGAGCTTTTGCTTCTGACCAGCCGCTAAGTGGCAGTTCAGGAAGCAGAGGCTAGTATCGTCGATTGTGAAACGAGCGACGATGGCACCTTTATTGCCATACATGCCCTTCATTCCGCACTTTATAGTTGTGATGGCCACGTCTGCGACCGCGGTTGTCGATTGCGTAGGATGTACTACTGACCGACGGACAAAGATGCACGTGAATAGGCCAACGAGGTTGTCAGTGTGTTGAACCACAAAGGAATCCGAAGGAAATGCTCGTTGAACCTCCGCCACCAGCTTATCGTGCCATAGCTTGTAGTGTCGAGAGACCTTGGCGGAAACGGATCCATCAAGCTTCTTTTTGCTTGGGCCGAGAAGAACAGTCTCTGCGCGGGGCTTTAGTTTCTCCGGATTTACGACGTGTTGTACTCACTCGCAGTAAGCTTCTTGTCTTCGAGATCGATAACCTCTTGGAAGCCAAATACAATGATATCTGGTATTTCTCCCCCTCCATGAGATGAAGTGAGAAATTTATGCAGGAAGGTGACATTGTTGGTGCCAGTAAGCGCATCCGGTTTCGCAGCGTCAATGTTCCAAGAGCACACGAGAAGTCGCAACGGGCGAAACACGCAAAAAGATGATTCGCGTTGAACCATCATCGCATCTTAGTAGGTGTCAGTTCGAGCAATTGAGAATAGAGAAGGGGCACACCAATCCAATCCTGAGCTAGGAAACCATCCCAGAACCGCACGGCGCCTTCACGAGCAACACTGTAGACTACTAGCTTCTTGGTCTGCTATCCATTAGAAACACCTGGAGCGATAGGAGGGGAGACCCACCTGAGAGATTGAGAAAGGATCCAGGCATAGTTTGACGATAGGGCGGTCAATATAAGCCTTCCAAATATTGGTGACAATCCATGGCTTGACTCTCGAATTCTCGTCGTCTACGGATTCACTTTGAGATGGCGAATGCTGAGGGGGTTGTGACCTTGGATCCTCCGTTATCTCATAGACATAGATTGTGCCTGAGCCAAGGCCGGCCCACAACTTTGAGCCGACACCTTCCAGTGCGGTGAGAGTAGTCGCAGCGACTTTGATTTTGCGTAAACATATCGGAGCTTTGGGGTCTATCATAGGTACGTGTCCATCGACCGTCGCCTCGGCGTCGGTCCCTTCGTCCGTTAGACTTCCAGTGTCGCTTGTAGAAGTCGCGGTTGACAAGAATGAGGAAGCGCTGTGTTGGCGATGGATAGCCGGTCGTGGGGGGCGTACATCTTTTTCTTGCTTCGATTGTTCGCCAAGGGGATCACTCCAGATTGTGATCCACCCACCCTGGTGTCCAAGGTAGACGAGACCTGGTGTGCTTGGAAGAGTCGTCCCGCACGTTACGGTCCCCACGTCGAATCCGATGGCACACGATAGAGACTCGATGGCACCGTCACCATCCACCTCATGTATACGAAGCATAGGGCCATGACGATGGCGACTAGAAGAATGGTGAAGATGGCGATGGCTCGAGCTGGTTAGCGAGGTGAGAGATCCTCCCCAGCTTCCATTCTTTCCATTGAGCGAACCAGAAGGAGAGGAGGACGACGTGACTTGACCATTGGTATCGGTCGAATGATGAGCTGAACTCGTCCACAACCGTCCGTTGAGTAGGCGAGCAAAGCCATCCTTGTGACCGGTGCGATGTACTCGGGGATTCGAACGACTCAACCATTTCTGCTCCTCTCTGCCACCTCCGCTAGTTGATCCAATCCCGCAGAAAACAAGAGTTTTCCCACTTTCATCCATGGTGAGCATACGCGCGCCTGGGAGTCGATAAATTCCCACAACGTTGACGGTATGAGCACTAGCACGGTAGTCGATGAGGCGCCCGCCATTCCAAATATCGAACTCTAAGAGAACGCCATCCTTGGTTCCACACCACAAGTAGCGACCTTGATCCGTCGTACCGTTGGGCGCGTCCACCTAAAAGTTGAAATATCAGAGCTGCGTCGGATACGAAACAAAAAAACTCCCATACCCCGTGACGGAATTCCATGGCAGTCACCCGTGGCTTCTCAGATTTCCACTCAATCGGCAATTCTTCCAAGTCAATAGTCCAGACACCACCAGAGCCACCAAGATGATCCGTTTCATCTGCATCGTGGTGACGTCTCCGTGCATCCGAGGTGGGATCCATATTGGTTATTGTCACGACGCCCGGACTTGCCACAACGACCCACCAACCTGCGACTGCGACGACGCCTTGGTAAGGGACGTGCAGCTCTGCTCCGCTCTCATGGTTATTGCCGTGCTTGTAGATATGATGGTGGTGATGAGCAGACCGATGATGGGGAGCCAAGACGTTGGGAACGTGCTCAAAGTCCCAGAGGATGGGAGGGCGTCGATTGCTTCTCGACGAGTCTGGAAGTTCTTCTGCAATCTTGGCAATGACACGTTTGGCTGGTGCGTATGTAGAGGCGTCACCTAGCGGCGGTTCATCTTCATCAGAGGAGCTACTTCCAGAGGACCTGCGCTTGAGCGAGGACGTTGGCCGCAATGATGTTGCGCCATCTCCAACAGACCTCACAGGGGGAGGCAACAAACCCGTAGTTCCCTGTGTTTCCAATCCTGCCGAGACGGGACTCGGTTCGCTTGCCGCGCTCGTGGGGTCATGAGCATTGCGTGTGTGAGCAGAGCTCGAATGATTCCCGAATTTGACAGCGGCGAATATCTTGGTGATAGGAAGCGCGTTTAGTTGTTGCGGGAGATGGGGAAAGTGATGTTCACGAGGCTTTGAGTTGCCCGACTGCATCATCTCCGCTGACATGCCCGCAGTCCTAGATGGTGGAGGTAAAAAGGCACCTCCCTCCGTCGATACAGTCCTGGATGGTGCAACCGTGGCACTCGCAGGGGTCTCTTGTGAAGGCGTGAGTGATTCAAAGGATCCAGACGGTGAGACAGAGTGTTGAGACACTGGCCGCGAGTCGCTGGATGGCGGCGGGGGTACTCGTCGACGCGCTACAGTCGGATGGGAGACATCTTCGGATGAACTCTCATTGCGGACGAATGCGCTCCTCGGCGGGAGAGGAGGAGCAGAGAGGCGGGAGTCAGTCGACGGATTGGCCGAGCGTGGTGGCAACGGTGGACCAGTAGCGGTATTGGTGGAAGAATTGGAGACCTGAGACCTGCTTGGAAGAGGCGGTGGAGAAGATTGTCCAGCGAGTCGTTCATTTGAAGGGGTTTTGAAACCACTCATCGAGTGCTGCAAGACGGTTGTATCGGGTGATCCTGCGTCTCGCAAGCGGGGTGGAAGAGAAGGTGATTTGCTCGTAGCATCACTCGAAGTGAGCGAAATAGACGATGCGGATGAGCGGTCTGTTGCTGTTGAAGGACGGGGTGGCAACGAGGGACTCGCCCTGTTACTCTTGGAGACTGGTAAGTCTAGGTCGGTTGCAGATGGTGATTTGGTCGAGTCTCTCGATGTCGAAGAGGAAAGACTGGAAGAAGGTGCCGGCTGCGCCCTGCTCGGCGGTGGTGGAGGCCTATCTACGGTCGGCACAGTCCCAGATAGAAGAATAGATACGCACTGCTTTTTCGCCGGCGGCGGTGGAGGCGGCTTTCTGAGAAGCTTTCTGGACATATTCTCGACGTCCGTAACGGCTTGCTGGGATGTACCGTCAGCCGGCTGAGCCGAGTCTTTGTTAATATTCGATCCAGAAAGACTCCTCGAAATTGTAGAGCTTGTCTGTTTTGGTGGAAATCCGATTCCCGTTGGAAGTGTCTTGTTGGCACGGAGGGCCGACGATGACAAACTCGGGAGATTGTCGTTTGGTGATGCCTTCATAGTATCTCGAGACATATCCTCGTCTTCCATTGAGCCTTCTGAACTTGAGCGCGGGTGATCTGCAAACGCCGGGGAGACGGGTTGGCTTGTCGGGTTTGATACAACCCGTCTCAAGTTCATAGCTGGTCCATTTGAGCTTGTAATTGGCGTCAGAACGACTGTTGGGGTCATCGGGCGTGCATTTGGATTTGTCTGCTGAGGAAGCAAAGCGAGTGAGCACAGAAACTCGAATGTAGACAAACTCCGATGGACATACAATTCTTCCTGGGACATTTGGCTGCTTGGAATCTCCATTTGCTGCACTTGCGCCGCCTTTGGCCAATGCCTCAAACCGACTGCGCAACGACGAGACGGGCGGTGGCGCCTCTGACTCGACATTATTGTCCATTTTTGATGTTTAGAGTGTCTGCTGGTGATTTCAGGAGTAGATTATACTCGAATTTCCCCGTGCAAGGAGCTGAATCAGGTTCGGAATTAGCTAAAGAGTGCTATCGTTGCTGTAGAATTCGTAAACGAGCTTGCTGAAATCGTTGGAAATGTTCTTGGTGATGCCCGAGAAACCCAAGGGCCCGAGTGCATCGATGTGGCCGCGTTCAAAGTCGACTCACTTTGGGCGCTTCACCTCTCTAATTTTGGATGGCGCGTCCAGAGAATCCACAGGGAGAAACCCTGCAACACTCGGATCAACATTGTATAATTCACGCAGCAAAAGGAGAAAACGATTGGTTCAGTTTCATAGTCTGGATATCTACACTCAATCTGCAAGTGCAGAACTAAAGTTCGGGTCATAGTAGTTGGTCGACGAAATGTTGTAGGACGCAGTCGGGTCAATTCCGATAGCTACGCCCCATTAGCTCAAAAGCAGCATGGGAAACAGCAAACTCACTGAGATAGCCCCTGTAGACCAGAGTTAGACATCAGGATTAGCATACGACTACTAGACTTACAAGAGACCGTCATCGAGACTATCACCCAGCTTTTCAATATCGGCAAAGGCGCTATACCCATTCGCGTTTGCCAGGATGACCCAGAGATCTTCATTGTTATACGTATGCTGCTGTGGATTCCCTTGGTACGCAGTCTGCGCCAAGACCTCGTTATTGACGGATTCATCAAAGAAGATTTGGCCCTGTTCCGGAGTCAGTCTCCCCGGTCTATCAAACGGAGCATCTTACCGTGTGTCGAAGTCCACCAGACGCGGAGATGATGGTGCTATTACTCGTCAGCGTCGGCATTGGGTGCATATAAGACGTGCCCGTTACTGTGATAGCTAATGTTCTGGTGGACCATCGTGTGGACGTGCACTGTCCTCCCACTATCTGCTCAGGTGGTAAGTAGAGTCACAAAAAGAGCCAGTATAGCCATACAGAACCCTGGGTAGATTGTCTAGGGCGGGTCAAACAGATATCACAACGGTAGTAGATGAACAGACCACTAGCTCGACCATGCCGTGCGCATTTGTGGGCAAGCCCCCACGTAGCCAGTTGAGATTATTGTTCTTCGGAGGTGACGGGATCACAATGGTACCAAAGTCGATTCCACTAGGCACAGAAAGAGGGACTGAGCCTGTCGGAGTACTCGTGATAGTTGCAGTTGAAGCCTGGGCGCTCGTGGCGGAGAGTGTTGTCGTAGAGTTCAATGCAGGACCAGCGCCAAAGCCAGAGTACTCTCCCTGGGCGTTGGCAGACCAGAGCTCAACAAAGACATTGGAAGCGGGCTTGCAGGTCGAAATATCCATTACGCCAATATCGAGGTAGAGAGTCGTACCGGGTTGAGACTCTCGAAGGTCTTGGCGGATAAACTCATCACGGATGTAGTACGGTCTGAGTTGGTCAGCCTTTGGTTTATGCAACGTTGAAGAAAATCATACCCTAGTACGGTTTAGATTAAGATGCATCGAATATATTAGTTGCTCACCTTCAATGATTTCTGGCGCAGTCACGCAGGTCTATGGCCAGGCGTCAGGCAACACAACAACTAGAGTGAGTCCTTACTAGCTGTAAAGGGGTTAGCGAGTCGACGAGAGGTCTTAGAGATACAAAACATACATTTTGAATCGTGGAATAATGCGGCGCATGCGCGGACACTGTCGAGGTACCCGGGTGAGGGTGTGTACTAAAGACCGAAGACGAAGCCGAGCTAGTCGGATGAGGATGATGGCCTGGTGGAGGGGGAGGGGGAGGTAAATGATGAGGAGGAGGTAAATGATGAGGGGGAGGATGTCGTTCCCACAAGGCTTCTGCGCGCTCGTGGAGTCCGCGACGGCGAAGTTCCTGTCTGGCCTTGCGAACGCGTTGATACTCGGCTACCTGATGAGCACAATTGCGCGCCATGATATGCCTCTTGTTGGCTTCGAGCTACTCCTGGTTAGCGGGACAGAATCTGTTCCAGGAACATACCTGTCGACGAGCCACCTCGGCGGGGTGATTGGCAAAAGGCGTCGATGGTTCAGCATGCGCTGTAGACTATCAAGAAATATCTAAACTGAACAGTCGGATTACTCACCATACGCGTACGAGGCGAGACTTGCGGAGAAGAGAGCAGCGGTGAACAGCATATTGGGCACAACCGTACAGCTCGAATCGAGCGAGCAGTAGTTTACAACTCCTTAAATATCCGCCGAGTGAGAACTGCGCCAGAGTCTTGGTCATGGCGCGGGGATTGACGAAGTGCTAATCCTTGCCTTCCGGCGCCTATACTGCGCTACTTCGACAGTACATTCTCATTCTCATCTCAATCCTCTGATTCCAATGAGATGGTCGTCACGAAATTCTCGAACAACGGTTGGATGTCGCCATTCCTTAATCATTTCGCCAAAACCTTGAGGCGGAGAAGGAGAGTATTTGGAAAGCACAATATGCGCTTCGATGATGGAGAGTCGTCTGGTCGCAATGCCGAATCCACACGGCGAAATCGTCCCTGATCCTGAGTAACCGAGAGATTTCCGGCACCCAACAGAGTCTGTTATAATCGCGAATTCATAAAGAAGTCGAGGATAGGGCGTCAAGTGGGTTGACATTCATCAACAGAAGTCGGCGGTTTGGCCACAACGGTACAGCAAGCGGTCGTAGAAGCGATAGAAACGCGGATGAACGTGAAAAGAATGGTTCTTACTACGTTTTACTGCCATTGATGACCTCTGGGATTCGATACTTCCTGGACGTCTGATGATCCGGAGGTTAATTGAAAGTTGCCGGGAATTATAATGCTCAGTTTCAGTTGTGAGAACGCATTGGCTTAGAGATTTGTGCATCTTTCCAAATTTTGTCAAGAACAAAGATCGTGGGTGGAGTCAAGTCGAGCACGCAAAGGCAAGGTAGAAACGAGCGATGTATTCATAGGTATACGCTGTGAGGATTGTCTACGTCGAAGAAGCCGACACAGGCTCGAAATCTGGATCCCAGTAGTTACTGGTGCTAATCGTATAGCTCGCACTGGTATCTATACCGACCGCTGCAGAGACGTCAGTACCAATATGGAAGTCACGCCTTTTCACATACTGATATACCCTCTGTAACATCAAGTCGTCAGTATGGCTCGATAAAGGGAAGGCATGAACGCACAGAAGCCCTTCGTCCAATGTATCTCCGAGTCGCTCAATCTCGACAAAGGCACTATATCCATCCGTGTTTGCAGTCTGGAGTATCCATCCTCGTCGTTGTAGGTGTGGGATTGACCGCTATTCAAGTACGCTTCTTGGGCGAGGACCTCGGTGTTGAAAGCCTCGTCAAAGAAGAATTGTCCCTGAAGAAGTGAGCTTTTTCCACATGGAGGAGTCGCTACGTACAATGTGACGAAGGCTGCCCGAAGAGGAAATGATCGTCCTGCGGGCAATCTTAGCCCGAGCTCGTGTGGATACCTTTTCACATACCCGTTCGAATGGTAGCTAAGATTTTGGTGGACCATTGTGTGAATATGGACAGTACGGCCAGAGTCTTGACTAGTCAGCAAATGCTCTCGAATGCTCTATGGACTCACAGAAGCCGGGATAAATGGTCTACAAAATGTTAGTGGTGATCAAGACTCTGAGAGAATCACTTGCAATAATTTCGACGATGCCATTCTCGTCGACGGTATAACCACCTCGCAAGAAATTGTCACCGTTTGCCTTGCCAGACGACATTCCGCCTCCTCCTCCGCCCGAGGGACTGCCGCTACCACTTGGAGCGGGTCCACTAAAGGTCCCGGTTGGAATGGCGGTGTCGTTACCTGACTGAGTCGGTGCGCTGCCTCCAGGAGGCCCACCCGACCCAGAAGGTGTTGTCCCGTTACCTCCACCTCCAGTTGTTCCAGCGTTTCCGAAGCCCGAGTACTCGCCTTGAGCATTGGCAGACCAGATTTCGACAAAGGCATCGGTCACGGGAGTGCAAGTCGTGATATCGAGGACGCCAATATCCAGATAAAGTGGTGTGCCTGCCTGATCTTCGCGAATATCCTGGCGCACATAATCGTCACGGAGATAGTATGGGCCTTCCACGACCTCGGGAGCCATCACACACGTCTATGGTAGTTTAGAAATGGGAACCGTGTTTGTCCACGACTCACAAACTGTAGACATGTTAGATTAATTTGATTAGATATAATCGCGGCTTACGTTTTTAATCGCCGAGTAATGAGCAGCAGCAGCCGTACTGGTCGTAGTAGAATAGACTGTCCGCTAATGAGCAACGTCGACGTCATACACGGAACTTACTGCTTGTTGCATCCGTGAAAGTCGAATCAGTTGTCTCTGTATCAACTATCGTCGACGTTGCCTCGTCCGAACTCGAGATGCTCGTAGCAACGTCGGTGGTCTCGTCAGTGGTCGTAGCATCACTAGTGGAGACGTCCGTAGTATCAACAGACGTAGTGGCAACAGATGTGCTCGCAGGAGAAGACACGCCGCCCGTCGGGGTACCCGGTAAGCCAGAATGCCCATGAGGACCCTGTCCTTGCTGGCCATGGTTCTGTCCACCATTCTGTCCACCATTCTGATGGCCTTGGTTTTGTCCTTGGCCTTGGGGTTGGTTACCCTTGAGCTGGATTGGTCCAGTAGGCAGCCCACGTTTGCGAAGGGCGCGCCTAGCTTTACGTCGACGCTGGTATTCGGCGACTTGGGGTGCACAGTTGCGAGCGAGGACATGTCTTTTATTCATTTCGAGCTAAGAGATTGGTCAGGTAACGTTGTAAATCAGATCTAGTTGTACGCACCTGGCGGCGAGCGACTTCCTTGTGGTGGTTAGCAAAGGGAGTGGAAGGCTCAGCATGACCTAGACTTGTCAATTTTCATAATTAGCTCGGGGCGAAATCCTCACCTAAAGCGGAAGCCGCGGTCATCAACGCGACGAGGACAAACTTGAGCGAAATCATGATCAACGAAAGGAAACTTGGATGCCTGTCAACTTAGTGCTCCTTCGTATCTTTATACCCTCAGAGTCGCAAAACACGGAAGTATTCGTCTCTCATGTCTAGGAGTTCCGCAGTTGAGAAGCCAAAGGGTGAAATTCTCAGATTTATGGATGCGAGAAAATCCGACCAACTGATTCAAATTTCACTAGGTTTCACATTGTCACCTGCAACCGATGAGTGCGCTGCGGTAACCAGCCAGTGATCCGCAGTCACGCTTACCGGTTGTATATTCGGTGGCCGCAGATTGGTCCAGTCTAGTGATCTTCACGGCTTGGCGACAGAATACAAAATTAGACTCGAGACATCTGTCCGTCTTATATTCAGTCGCGCGAGGTGTTCAGGTGAATTGCCGGGCTGTATTGCTAGAAGTCTCAACGGCCATGGAGTTTGACAAATGAGCACATCCGCAGCCACAAGACGAGGGGATTCAACGCATATGGGAGACGGTATGTAAAGCACAATGGGTAAATTGTTTGCCGCTAGCGACCGCGAGGACTATCGTATGGCCTAGTCTTCTTCCTCTTCTTCCGTCTCCCGCTTGGCGACTCCGTAATAGTTCTTTGTCGTGATAGACCGCGCCGCCGTAGGGTCGATTCCAATGGCTGGGAACAATGATCAATGGCATAAACAGGGTCAGGAGAAGAGAATGTACTGATATATCCCCTAAAAAGTGTCAGATTACAGAGGTCAATATACAGTTCACCTACAGGAGACCATCGGAAAGACTGCTACCCAGCTGAGTGACGGATGCAAATGCGCTGTAGCCGTTTGCGTTTGCTTGCCTTAGAATGCTGTCAGCACTATTGAGGGTGTGGGACTGTCCACTGTTCTGGTAAGCCGACTGCGCAAGAACCCGTGTGTTCAATGTCTCGTCGAAGAATATCTGACCCTGACAAGAATGGTCAGTGAGGGAGACTCCCGAAATACAAGACGTACGATGTGGCGAAGAGTCGTAGGAGACGAAACGATGGTACTACTATATGTCAGAATACTGGGTGGCAGAGTAAAGGCGCGTACCCATTTGAGCTAGTCTTGACGTTTTGATGAACCATTGTATGGATATGAATCGTACGTCCCGAGTCTAAGGATATTCAGGCGTGTAAAGGGCACAAAACGTGTTCTTACAAAATCCAGGGTAAATGGTCTAGGGAGCAGCAGGTCAGTAAAGACTCAGAGGAACATTCCCACGCACCAAGAGCTCCACGACACCGTTTGCATTCGTTGTGTATCCACCACGCAGGAAATTGTTGTTATTCGTCTTCGTTCCGCTTCCACCTGCTTGCCCACCACCTCCAGGACCTCCGCCAGTTGTGCTTCCACCGAAAGCAGAATAGACACCTTGGGCATTGCAAGCCCAGATTTCGACAAAAACATTGGTCGCAGGCTTGCAAGTGGAAATGTCGAGGACGCCAATGTCGAGATAGAGGGGGGTTCCCGCCTGTGCCTCGCGCAAGTCTGTGCGGATGAGCTCATTACGGAGATAATAGGGCCCTAGACTGTGTCAACCGAGCTTTGTGTTTGTTGGGCATACTCTACCCTCAGTGACCTCTGGAGCGGCAATGCACGTCTAAGGTAGCGTGAGGTCTATCCCATGAGATGTAAGCCACTTACAAACTAGAATATCTTCAGTAGTTAAAAACGACCAAATGTCCTACTCACATTCTGAATTGTCGAGTAATGAGGCTTCAGAGCGGACGAGGTGCCACTAGCCTGGCGACGCTCGAGATCCATGATGCTGTCGTCGACGATTCCACGACGCTTGAGCTCACGGCGGGCTTTGCGCTGAGCCTGGTACTCGGCAACCTGAGGGGCGCAATTGCGGGCCATGACGTGACGGGCATTCGTCTCGAGCTTCGAGAGCAATGAGCGAAGGATAGAGAGCGCTGCGGAATTCGGCTTACCTGTCTACGAGCAATCTCTTCTGGATGGTTGGCAAAAGGACTGCTATCAGGGGCAGCATGAGCTATGCACAGGAATGAGCTGAATGCGCAGCAAGGGAGAGCGCAAAGGCGGACCATAGACGAGGGTGCTAAGCGACGCGAGGGCAAAAATATTCTTCCAGAGCATGATGCGAGCTTTGACATTCATCCACCTCGCCCACCTCGCTCGCTTTATACCACGCTGGGCTCGGGCAGATGGAGGACCGTAATGTTCCGCAATGAGGCCGTTCTGTTCTTCAACGCGGTAAAAGCTGGAGAGTACGATGGGTTCGGTTGATCCACCATTGGCCATCGGAGAACCATCGCTAGTCCTGCTCGGCGGGTCCGGTAACATTTGTAACGTAAATCCGGATGAATATGAATAGATGGACTGCGGAGGGATGAAATACTCAACGAGTGATTGGCTGCCGACGCCCTCTTTGTCCAGGGTCGCCGGGTTCTCGCATGGATAAGATTCCACGAGAAGCACACTTTGACGTATGCGCAGTAGCTGCTTCGAGAAACATGCCAAGACTTTTGAAAGGTTCCGACAGGGCAAGTCTCTCGTTGCGGGATTGGCGGGTAGAGCAGTTCATCGCGTTTCCTGATTGCATAATGATTACGGTATATTGGACTGATACATTTTTAGAGAGTTCACATTGGATCGCTGCAAGAGATTAGCCAAACGATCATATACCTTTGTCTACAATCGCTCCGAGTTATTGGTGAGGTGGCCGAGCGGTCCAAGGCGCAAGATTCAGGATCTGAATTTTCTTGTCTGTAACAGGGCGTGGGTTCGAATCCCACCCTCATCAAACTTTTTGGGTTTTGCGCCGCGCCACCATTAACCCTCGCATATTCTATTCTACCAACAATCCGACTACCAAAATCTACTTTTTTTTCGCCTTTGGATCGCTGGCGGACGCATCGTCTTCTTGCTGCTTCATGCTCATGGCAATGGCCATTGCAATCGCCGCCTCTTCGTCCTCTTCGTCTTCTCCTTCTTCTTCATCCTCATCATCCCCATCTTCGTCGTCGTCTTCTTCACCATCCATATCCTCGTCATCCTTGTCCGCATCACTGGCAGCAGTCGTTGCTGCTCCGCCTCCGGTAGACATGGCGATTGCCTGGGCGAGGAGTGGATCATTCTCGTCTGCATCCATGGCATCGTCTTCAGCAGTGGTGGATTCGAGTACCTTTGGCGCTGGCTTTGGCGTCGTCTCGCCCTCTGTATTCATCGCCGCAGATGTGCTAGTCGACGCCGCGGGTGCAGCAGCACTCGAGCTGGCGGCTTCTGCATTCCGTTGTCGTGCTTGTTCTTCTTCCATGGACATGCGGAGTGCCTATCAAGGATGAGCCACTGCTAATTGAATCAGGCGACAGACTCACGAGAGCAAGTTCCGGATCCAAAGACGGATCGAATCCAAATTCGAATGCGTTTCCTCCTCCCGAGCCACCTGCTTCATCTCCGCCGGGGACGCCTGCCTCTGAAGGGTCTCGGAGGATGGGCGACGAGAGGAGAATGTCCGACATGAGGTGGCTCCCTGGTGCGATGATCAAAAAGTGACTATTCTCCATTAGCAATACTTTTGAACCCCAAGGAGGAGGAGACGGACCTATTGTCATTGTTCTGCACGGCATCAACGAGGGCTTTTAGTCTCTTCTCGTTTTCCTCGTATTCTCCATAGGCAACAATGTCTAGTGCGACATTGTTCTTCTTGAGTTTCTTCCCGACGCGTGTCATGGCGCGTTCGTCTACGGCGTCGCTGATGGGAGAGCCGACAAAGGCAATGATCCTCTGACGAAGATTCTTGTTTTGTCGATGTTTCAATGCGAGCTGTGCGACTTGGATGGCGGTCAAAACGTCGACGCTGCCGCTCATAGTGGTATTATGGAGAGCAGAAAGAATCTTTCCGACGTCTTGTGTGGGAGTTACGAGGACTTCTGGACTGTTATATGACCGAATTGGATGAGCAATTGGTCGTCGCCACTGACTAGCAAACAAACAGACCTTTTACCGGCCATGGTCATGACACCAGCCGTGTTTTCTGGATTCGAGTCTACTTTTGCAGAGAATACAGTTGTGATTGCGTCTGTCTGCGCGTCAAAGCGGCTGGGTGGATAGTCCCCATTGCGCATATACTCGGAATTGTCGATACTGTCGCGTCGAATGTGAGCAATATAGCGTTCCAATGCTAGTTATAGCATACTGACACGAGCATACATGATTCCAGTGGCATCGTGAGTACGCGTACGCGTCGTGGTCGGGGTCAAAGAGGTCTCGGTGTAGTCTAAACTAGTGATATGTGATATACATAAATGTAGTGCCTATTCTTATTCATATCCACCTCGTCTTAATTTTGGACTCTACCACGATATCCGTGGCTCACCGCGGCTGCCAACTATCAGCCGCTCCTTGCTATTCTCAACAATTCTGACGGCGTAGACAGTCGTATTTCGCCCGTTTCCGCTGCCCGGGCGTGTCTTGTCCGCGGCCACGTATCGACGTACAAGTGGCATCCACCGCCAGCAGTCTAGCGACTATAAATCATTATAAAATGCAAGCATCTGATTCATTCCGCTCTCGTCGACCTCCTTCACCTTCTGGAGCTCGCCAGACACTCACCACCGGTCTCCCCGCCGCCGTCCCTCGTTTTCCGCAGCCACGCTATGTAGAAGAAGGAACCTATCCCCCTCAGCAAATGTCTGCAGACGAAAAGCTAGCCGCCGTCCGTCAAGACCACAACGCAATGCCAGCGACTTTTGGTCGTCCGTCAGGCGCAGCAGGATTGGGAGGTCGTCTAGGTGGTGGACTGGGCAGGATAAGCTCAGGAGAATGGAAGATTCTCATTGCCGTCTTGCTCGTCGCATGCTCCATTCGTCTCTTCCGCATCAGCAAACCCAACAGCGTCGTATTCGACGAGGTCCATTTCGGAAAGTTTGCGGGGAAATATATAAGGGTACGTGCTGGGCTATTCACGGACTTTATGCGCTGATACGTGTCGAAATCTTCTAGACGCGATACTATGTCGACGTTCATCCTCCACTTGCAAAACTTTTGCTCACGCTCGCTGCATGGATCGGAGGATTTACAGGAGAATTTGATTTCAAGGAAATTGGCATGGCCTATCCAGACTCGGTCCCCTATGTCCTCATGCGAATGGTCCCCGCCGTCCTCGGTGTTCTCCTCGTCCCCATTACATACCTCACTCTCCGTGCACTCGACTGTTCCGCATCGACCTCGCTCCTCGGGAGCATTCTCATCATTTTCGAAAACGGCCTCGTCACCCAAAGTCGACACATCCTCCTCGACAGTCCTCTCCTCTTCTTTACCGGTCTCAGCGTCATGTTCTGGGTCATGTTCTGCAACGAGGACAAGCGACCGCAACACAAGGCACCCACCGTCCATGGTGCAAAGGGCGTTGTCATCTCGGGTCCGTTTTCCAGAATCTGGTGGACATATCTCCTCCTTACTGGCCTTTCCCTTGGTGCCGTTGTCAGCTGCAAATGGGTTGGACTGTTTACCATTGCGACGATTGGTGCCTCGACCATTAAGCAGTTGTGGGCCTTGTTGGGCGATCTCCACATTCCTGCATCTCTTTGGATGAGGTAATATTCAACGAAACTCAAAACATGACTAACTAGTCAACAGACACTTTATCGCCCGTGCCATTTGCTTGATCGCTGTCCCCTTGCTCTTCTACATGGCCATGTTCGAAATCCACTTTTCCATTCTCCGCAACTCTGGAGATGGAGATGCGTTTATGAGCTCCGAGTTCCAGCACACCCTGCAAGGAAAGGAAATGCATGACACTTATGCTGGTCCGTAGACAAAACAAGCGCTCGGCTGCCTGCTGACAGCGTACTCTAGACGTTGCGATCGGCTCGACCGTGACCATTCGACATGTCAACACGCAAGGTGGCTACCTTCACTCCCATCCTCACAACTACCCGGGCGGCTCAAAGCAGCAACAAATCACCCTTTACCCGCATATCGATTCGAACAATGACTGGCTGATTGTTCCTGCTTTGGACCCGAGTCACTGTAAGCCTATCTTGTGGCATATTGCGTCTTCGCTTGGGACTCACGTCATCCTCTAAGCGAACACCACGGACCCGATGAAGACGTTGACATACCTGAAGCCTGGCTCCGTTGTTCGCTTCAGACACATCAAGACCGGCAAACACCTCCACAGTCACGATGTCCGCCCGCCTGTCAGCGAAGTCGACTTTCAACAAGAAGTCTCTGGTTATGGGTTTGAAGGCTTTGAGGGCGATGCGAATGACAATTTTATCATCGAGCTTGATGAGGAAGGTGGAGGGGATGACGGTGGACGCAAGGGTAATGGACGTGGGTGGGGTGGCGATCGGGAAAGTGGCCGTCGCGTGAGGACATTGAGGAGTATCCTCAAGTTCCGTCATCAGCTGACGGGCTGCTATCTCTTCAGTCACAAGGTGGGCTATTTTCTGTTGGAAGACGTCTGCCGCTTTTCTGACGCGATCATAGGTCAAATTGCCGGATTGGGCGTATGAGCAACAAGAAGTCACCTGTAACAAGAATGCTGTACGGATGAATAGCTTGTGGTACATTGAGACCAATGAAAACCCGCTGCGTGAGTACGGCACTAAGCAAATTGCTGGCCTTGCTAATACTCTGCAGTGCCTGTGGACGCCGAAAAGGTTAACTACAAACTACCTGGCTTCTTTGGCAAATTCCTAGAACTCCAAAAAGTCATGTGGCAGACCAATGCCGGGTTGACCAGTCGACACGCGTACGACAGCCGACCTCATCACTGGCCCTTCCTCCGACGTGGCATCAACTTTTGGGTCCAGAACCACCGACACATTTACCTCATTGGAAATCCCTTTACGTGGTGGCTGAGCTCCATCTCGGTCCTCTTGTACATTGGCGTACGTGGCTTGCTCGTGTTGCGCGAAAAGCGTGGCTACAAGGATTTCCACCACTCTGCTGTCGTCAAGTATGATCAACTCATTGGATTCACCGTCCTCGGATGGGCACTTCACTATCTCCCCTTCTTCCTCATGGGGCGTCAGCTCTTCCTTCATCATTACTTCCCAGCACTTTATTTCTCGATCCTCACGTTTGCATCGGTCTTTGATCTCGTGACGTCGACCATGTCGCCGAGGCGGAGAATTCAAGTGGCCGCGGTCATTATGGCCTTGTCCATCTGGACGTTTGCGCATTTCAGCCCGCTTGCGTATGGAAACCCGTGGACGAAGAAGCATTGCATGAGTGCAAAGTGGCTCAAGACATGGGACTTTTCGTGCTATGATTATCACGATGATGTGAGTTTCCGTTTCTCACTGCCATTTCGTGGCTTTTACTGACAACCTGCCAGTACTCGCAGTATCGCATTACGACCAGCGCGCCTGCGGGCGAAGTCGTGCATACGCATGCCATTCCTGCCTCCCCGTCTGCAGCGGGCGTCAACCCGGCCGTCAAGCCCGTAGAGAACCTGCCCGAGCCCGAGGTGTTGACGAAAGCAATTCAAAAGGAAAAGCTTGAACCAGGCCGAGACGTCTTTGAGGCGCAGCCGATTGACGATCTGAACGAGCGGCTAAAGGCGAACTTGGCCATGACGGGTGCCAACGCGCCTGTTGATCCCAAGGAAAAGGAAAAGCTAAAGGAGCTTGAAAAGTCTAAAGCCGAGGCGAGCAAGAATGCGCAAAAGGAGGCGGAAGAGTTGGAAGGCAAGGTTGGTCCTTTGTTGCCGTCCGAGTTGGCCAAGGTTGGTGAGCGAGTGGAGAAAAAGGTGTCATCTGCGGATACCAAAGTGGAGGAACACATCGAGGAGAAGCCACTTGGCAAGATTGGCGAAAAGAGCGAGGCGGGGAGCGTCGATCCGACGACAGTTCAATCTGTAGAGAAGAAGGAAGCGACGGACAAGCCCGAGTAGACTCGGTCGCGTTGATGCTGCTGGGCGGTTTTTCTTTCGTTGTTGTTTCGACTTGTGTGATCCTCTTTTCGTGCAATCTACGCTACTTATTGGTTTCCATATGGTGACTTCCTAATTCCATATTTCATATCATGGTTCATATCTTGAAAAGTCCTACCAAGCGTTTCCGGTATATATATCCCACTGTACTCAAGTCGCTCCGAGGCAGTATACCTGGTGCTTGCGTAAATTATTCTTGACAACAGGTCGGCCACTTGCCCGGAATCAGAGCTGAATCAAACTCTTCGGAACGTACATACCAGCTGGGGCAGTCGACCTTGGGACGACCAGTATGCGACTTGAGATATGAAGGCGCAAAAAATCCGTTCTTTACTGTGAGTTTATTGTCAATAGCTCGATAGAAGGGAAGAGTGAACCAGACCAATCTGAATCCCCGCATGACCCACGACACGGAAACGGCCGGTGGTCAAAGTGTCCTCGGACATGAGCGATGGCTCTATCCTGCCTATCAAACTCCTTCCCACACCTATGGAAGGTACATCTGAGTATATTTTCTGCGTCTCGAGGAGTAGTACGGTCAATAGGACTTAGAAAGATGAGAAAGATGGAGCGATTATTCCAGTCTCGCGGCTCCATTTGGTTCCTACGTAGCCAGTCGGACTTTAGGATTAGATCATATGCATAATCCTGAAGTTCCTTCTTTGACATCTCGTAGAGTCGTGTTTGTGGGGCGTTTAATATAGCCAGGAAACCTTGCAATTCTGCGTGTCCTCGGTTCATGTCACTTGAGTCCTTACGAGAGCCTGGATCTGAAAACGCATCGATCCGGCGGGGTGTTCCAGTCTCAATCGCCTCTAGCTGTATCGATTTCACCATGCCGGCCTCCATTCCCTCGAGCTGATCCACGTCCAATGGCGATTCTACAGAGAGGAGCGGCTCATCTGTCAGGTTATTGCTAGTAGGGACGAGTAACCAACACATTGCGTTGCCGAGAGATGCTGTCACGGTGCCAACCATCAACCAAGTGCTGCATCCGCGCCAAAGGAGATACAGAAACTCACATGTAGAGGGCGTAAATACAGACATCAACGCAGATCTACTGGATACCAGACACAGATCAGTAGTCAGGAGGTCAGAGACGGCGTTTAGCGCGAGGGGGTCAACAAGGACTGTGTTATCCTGGGCTCATGTAATATGACAAGCGGTCATTCTGAGAAAGTTCGGTTCGCATAGCGCAGCTTGTCCCGATTCGGTGAGCCGTTTGCCAGTCTCTACCGCCCGCCTAAAATTGATATCTCCTGACCAAGGCTTGGACTCGAGCCATTTCAAAAAACGGCCAATGCCATTGGGTAGGATGGATTGCTGGTTGAAATGCGCTAAAGCTCGGGAAAGCCAATGGTGGCTCCAGCCGACCTATCAAGCTGTGCTGAGCTACCCCGAGGCATACAGGGCTCGAGGAAAAGAAAGTTGGATTGGATTTCCGGATTATTCGGTGACCAACTCACCTCGGCAGCAGAGGTGACAACTGGCTTTTCGGGCCGAGTCGAGTTTCTTTTATTGTGGTAGGGCTCGCCGGGTACAAGGAGCGGAATTCGATCGAGAAAAATTTGTGTCTCCCTTCACACACTGATTGACTTTCAATCGCCACCTGGCTACCTCTACTTAGAGTTTACCCAGGCCATGCGATCTTCGTGCTGCTACAAACAGCAAAGAGTTTATAACATTTAGCCATGGGAAATCGGAACAAGCCGGATCCGCACCGGCGTAGCGGTAGACTACTAGACTATAGTGATCCTCTTTCCCCTCTAACGCGTTACACTCCCTATATAGCCCCGTTACTCAGGTAATCCAACCCGGTCGGCCGGGTTCTGACCTGTAAGGTGAACCAATCCTTACAGAGTCGAACGCCTACCTTTGATTTCTCTTGTGCCCTGGGCCAGTCGTTAGTGCTCAATATGAGGCTAGAGAGGCTTGAGTGAATCATGGACGGAATAATAAAGACTAGAGCTTTTTTTCCGCTAGCCCAAATCAGCGAGAACGGCCCATGCTGCGGAATCCACTCGCGATCACAGCCGAACCATAACGTAGCCACGAAGAAACCGCCCATCTTTTCCATTAAGGTTCAAGCATGTATTCAGTGCATTTCACACTTAGCGTACGCTCTAAGTCAACTCCTCACCGACCGTAATGCCCTTGGGCTGACCCCTAGAGGACGATAAATTCATCAAGGCATTGTTTATTTGAACAAACAGCCCGGGGAATCTGCAATCTGGCATTGTTTTTGCCAACAGGACGCTTGCCGGCGGAGCGTGGTCCTGGCTATTATCAGCCCTGCAGGTATTGTCAGCGTTCGCCGGCAAGTACCCTTTTCGAACTGGTACGCAGAGATGACATTCGCACTCATAAACAGCTATTTCTCGGATTGCTGTCTCAATTGCGCCGAGGCGAGGGAGCGGGTCCTAGCCGCTCGCCTTGGCTGAAGGACTAGGTCCTGCCGTCTGATACAGTGCTCTGAAAAATCAAAGAGGCTAGTTGAGATCTTGAGACACACTCTCGGGATCGATCCGCCTTGAAGGCGGAAACCAAGCAAGTCGACAGACTCGACGCCCTTCGGGCCGAGTGTGTACCTGTCGTTGGTAGTCCGGAACAGCATGAAGTTGCTAATCTACATATGTTTCGTGTATGCATCGTAACTGAGCCGAGTCACACTCTGACTAGATTTCGTCGACAACCTGCTGTATGCCGCCGAAGAGCAGTCTTGACCACGAAGGTGCCACTATGAATATCTTTAGTCACGAAATGTAATAGGCGTGTCTCGTACCATAGCTCGCAGGCGACCTTTGGTCGTTGGAGGTGACTTCGAAGGTAGGCTGCACTGTAAAATCGTTCGAGGCTTCCAATATACGTCAGAGATATGTGGATATGAAATGGATTTACCGACCAATTGACATCTCCGCACTCTCCAAGGCAAGCGAATGGACGATGTTCGAAATGACTCCTGATATGGGCCAAAGCACGATCTTGCCTTCCGTAGATCCCGTGGCATCCGTGGAACAGACACTTTTGGAAAGCACCTGCTCCAGTTGGTGCAAGGAAGAGCAAGAATATCGATCTACCGCACCCATCGCGCGGTTCGTGTTCATGATTCCGTAACCACTGGGACGAGATACAGATACAGTATGCGTGTTGAATCTTATCGCGCTGTCTACCACCTAACGGAATAGTCCCAGGTGCGAGCGCAAGTAGGAGCGAGTCAATGTCCAAATCCTGTCGTGCGACGGCAACTGCTGGCACGGAGGCAGGGGTGGCTTCTATGATTGGGGTAAGGGCCTCTGGTATACTGACGTTGAGGCGACTAGGTGCTGGACTTTCTATAGACGTTGCTGGCGTATCTGTCCCGATCATCGAGTTCCATATTATTTGGTTATCCTTGGATAGCACGCTGTCCTCGGACATGATGCTTGCGGGGGTAAGACTTACGTCTGAAGCCCATGGTGACCACTGAGGGGCTTCTGGTTGTAATATGAGCCCTGTAACGCATTAGAGAATGTTGTTTGACCCGGGAGCCCTCACCTGGAGTAGAGAGCGTGAAGTGGAGTGGATGATTGGATAGATGAGGTTTACTCCTCTGGCGTCGGATCGTAGCATTGCTCTCTGGACGATAAGTCAGCCTCGCCCTGACATCTCAAGCGACGCTGACCACGAACTGGCATGGCCATGGTATCTACTGGATCTAGTGAATGACTTCTGGAGGAGAAGCTGCAACGCTTGTGAGTAACGGCAAACTCTAAGGATGATGAAGGGCTTACACGGATGGTGCGCTCTAATGAGGCACGACCGAGGTCGGGTCGAAGATCCTGGATGGAAGTGGAAAACTGAAACTCGTATCGTGCGATCTTAGGCTTTATAGGCGCTGTAGGCGCTGTGGGGTATAGGCTGGGGAGACTGGCAGTTACCTGCAGCGACCATCCTCTGCATTGGATGTAGAGATTGCTCGGATATATCCTTATCAGCCAGCATTTACACTCGTTACGCTGATATCTACCGTCCGCGTAACCTTGTGGCTTCTAATAATATCACGTTATCCAGAAATACGATTGATCTCCGTTCAGATCATGTGGAGGGCGTCTGCTCATGAGGTGTTAACGCGAGAGCCGTGATGCGGACCAGCAAAGGGTCAAGAATGTGAGCGGCAGGCACCTGTTTGTAGTGATACTTTCGAGTCGAACTCAATAGGAGCCTGTACCCGGCCACTTGGTTTGCGTGAGGCCAGGATCAACTGTGATATTGCGTATCTAGACTGTATACTTCTGATAAAGGCCGTTGAAATGTCTCACGCGCCTCTCCCCGCCTCATCTGGGCGGCGGCCGTTTGCAAGCTCATATCAGGACAAAGCAAGGCCAGCCTGCTCTCGACCTCACCTCTTTAACCAGGCTGTTCCTCAGCAAAGAAGAACCGCAAGTTGTGAATATAAAATTGAATTTATGAACATATTCACATTACATCATTGCGTCGTGCTTTGTATATCCCACTCGCTGAACGCCTTCTACCGCTCCAAGGCGCTCGCCAGTGGATGAGGTCAACAAATTGGGAGTTTAGGGGTCAATTAATTGAATGCGATGTGCATTGTAGCGCTGAGCCGCCGCCCTGCCGGGTGGCCTTGTTCTCCTTGACCAGTTACGCTACATGGGGTCACCTGGAAATGCTGGAGCAGCCTAAATCAAGTCAAGTGCGTCTCTGCAATGTTCAGGGTCACTTTTAGATGCTTACTAACTGCGGGTTTGGATGCGGCCCCCTCCTAAGGGGTGAATGCGGCGTGGAATATCCAAGTAGATGATCGTTTCTGGTAACGTATGAAAGAGTCTCGCACTGATATGCTCTATAGGATGGTCCTTGATCTCTAGCTGTTTGAACTCGTGGTTACCGAGAGGACCAGTTGAGCCGCCACAGCCATTTAATCAGCTAGCTGACAAGCTCCAATCCCATCAATTTATGCTGAGGGGTGCATGAATTAGCATGCATACCGGCCGGGTCATTCCTGGACGCACTCGCGACAATCTCTTCCGCGGGTGGAGTCTGAGCTGACTAAAGGTACCTCGAGACTGCTAGTTACAATGTTTTGTGGCCGGCTTATCTGTCATGATCGACGCTCTTCGAGCGAGGGGGAAGACGTCGACGGTGCAGACTGGGACAGCGGGCCATGAACTTCGCATAACGGCATCGAGGACGCTTCACCTGAGTGGAAGCGAGTCAAATTTGGGCTGCCACCTGGAGGGCTGGCTGACGTCGAAACGAGGCTGTGGAGAGAAAATGCCTCGAGCGAGGTTAAAGTAGTCACGTGGATATTACTGGTACGTCTCATCAGGGATAATGAACATAGAGCCGTCAGTAAAAGTTGTGCGAGCGCACAATGGGCGAGGCGAATGCAATTCCAAGTGCGCTAAGGTCGATGAGAGCCTCAAACGAGGCCACCAATCCAGTATGCGCTTCTCAAAGTTCCCTCACCAGCACTGTTCTGCACTGCCTTGGCGAAGAACACGCAGCAGGGCGCAGTAACGTCAAACCAGCTCAAATTTCAGCATCTTGGTGGATAGCTGACGGCCAAAATGACAATAGCCCTCTAAGACGCCGAAGTACGGCGACCGGTGTATGGATTGCAGATAGTTGCAGATACAGACACCCCTCTCCTTTATAGCTCCTGTCCGGCTAGCCAGCGGTTCAACATTGTCAGAGCCTGCTTCGGCTTATCATACGGAACCTTGAAACGGTTAATCACGTCGCGTCTGGTAGTGACATTCCATCGTACCATATGCCCAGCTGCAAAGACAGTGGCAAATGTCAACCCGCTGGCATTTCTCGTCATGCCAGCGACTTCTCCGTCGACCTTCCACTCGCGTAGCTCTTGAGCGTTAAAGGCATCATGCCCAGACCATGGCAGCTCAGCCGTCCAGCGGTAGTTTCCGACGTGATTGCTACTCGCTCGTCAGTCAACGAGGTGGTTCTACCGCAATAATCTCACCAAATCCAGTCATATGTTCCGACGTAGATAAGAACTCTGACTCCTCTCTCGAGCAGTTGTTCGACATATAGCGCCGTTTGTCTCATTCCATCAAGGTGGCTCTGGAAATCGATCCCGACTGCATCACTGCATCCTCTAAATGTATGGACGTTCTTGCTGACGCCGAGCATCTTGCGTGTCTCGGGGAGATTGAGATATTTGGCAATGTGTTTCGTGATAGGGTAGCAGAGTGTCTCTTCGATTGGGCCGTCACATTCCTTTGATATGTCGTACGGGTTCAGGCCACTCGACCAGAACGGAGCGGCGAGCTCCGCATCGCAAGCTTCAGAAGCGGCGGCGCAACTCATCGTATCGAATCGATCTATACATTCCGCTTTGAGCATTTCCTTGCATCTCGGAATCTAAAAAGGTTGACTGTGAGACAGGGTTGGCCATGGAAGAGCTACGTACTGCACGACGCATCCGCGCACAGGTCGAAATGGGAAGAAGGGGTTGAAGTGAAGCATTGGTACACGTGACGTCGTAGTAGCTTGTCGCCATTCTAAGAAAATAAGTAAGCAATCTCTGCTGACAAGGCCGTCTTACGTGAATGAGTCTGTGATACCATTTCCAATCATCACCGAATCAAGCGGTATGGGCGCGAATCCAGCTCTTTTCAAAAATGCATTTTGGTCCATAATCTCCGCGGCGAAGACTGGAAGATATCGTCCACCATAGCTCTCACCGGCGAGGTGAAACTTGACGTCGGTCGTGCTCTTCTTGAAGATAAACTTTTCGAAGAAGATGGCAACAAAGGCGGCCACGTCCTTTGCAGCCTCCTCTGTCCGTCCGACATGTTCGCCGTAGTCGGCGTAGGAAAAGCCGACGCCTATAGGCTGGTCGATGAAGATGACGGACGCATTGTTGTTCCAGGAGTAAGGATTAAACTTGGGTGAATCGACGTCATCCGCAGAAAGAATCTGGCAAGGTCCGAGCTCCATGAACAATCCCAGCGACGAGGAGCAGCCTGGCCCGCCATTGGTCCAAAGAATCACGTCTGAAGAAGGAGAGCGCGATTCAAAGAAGTAGAAAAACAGGTGCTTGGCTCCAATGTCGATATAACCTGTGTAAGACCTGCAAGCAAAACATGTTATGCGCGACGTCGCGAGAAAGAATGGACATACTGGACAGAGTCACACCATCCTTTCGAAGATTTGATTCGTAGACTATGATGCGGAAACATGGGGTGACTAACGCGCGTGTAAACCTCGTCAGACACCGAATGCAAGTCGAAAACCCCAGCGTCGGAATCGACCTCTCGAACTGGAATGTCCTCTAGGTTGTGAGTAGGGCCGAGAATTATCTCTGGTGGAGACGATAAAGGGCTTTCATCTCGCCAATTCACTGCATTGGCCGCTCCGTAGCCAGCAGGAGGACGAGGCGGGAAATGAGGCGTGGCTATCGACTGAGAGCAGACTCCTATGAGGAAAAGAGCCGCCTGGGTGAGTGCTAGGAGACGGCCCATCGTAATCAGGTGTTGTGGGCAGGTTCAGGAGTGGACCACGCGGACGTGCGAAGATGCACAGAGGGCTTACTCACACTCAACGTCAGGTATACTTATGGTCCGGAATGTGTTCTTGTGGTTACCAGAACGGTCTCTGGAGAGAGTGAGAGAGCGAGATCCAATTCATCTCGGGTTCGCAGAATACACAAGCTAACAGAAGGGTGCCGATTACTATTACTATTCCTAAATCAACTCGTTAGAGCTCTATTCAACGGCATTCAACGATAAAGCTTACAAATTCTCCTAGATAGGTGTTCTTCGTTACGCCAAAGAGCTCATCGGGCTCAAAGAAGTAGCGGATTGGGTGACTTTCTCCGTTGCACTTGTACCCACTCCGAAAGCATTTCCAGCAAGAGCCGTCGACGACGCCAATCTGGTGTTCGCTGGTCGCTGGAAGGGGGTGTCGAGCTTTCCTTCCATTCAGAATGTCTACGAGTGATTCCAGGACCAATATCTGCGGTCTCGAAGGAAGCTTGAGCGTAAAAACTCTATCCATTTTTTGTCGTCGTCGCCACTCCACAAGAAACATCTCGACGAGGTCCCATTGCGGCCACCAGTCAACGCCCAAGGTATGTAGACGTGCAAGAACGAGGCCCGGTGGAACCTTTGGAGAAAGAGCTTGAGCATAATTTCCAAGCTCTCGTCCAATTCAGCCTCGGTGTCCATTTTCCTGGACAAAATAACAAGCTCTTCCAAAGTAGGAAGCTGGTTTCGAGTTATAAGCATCTCCGCTACACCCAGCGGAACGTGGAGACGAGTAAGCGAGGTGAAACGATGCATCTTTGGTTCTCCTCGGACTCCAAGAAAAGGCCTGTAACAGCGCCTGTCTACGTAAAGCTCCCTCAGATACGTGGTCAAGGGACCAGGGAAGTCATTCTGGATGGCAACATATTGACTCAAAGCTCCGCAGGATACAATCATGCGACGGGCAGCCGGAAGCCTGCTTAGAATCGCGCTATTGAGAGGAAAACTGGTCTCAATGCATAGCAAGTCGTAAACACGTCTTTCTGGAGTTGCTTCACCTGTTGTAGCCACTGGAATTTGCGCATCTTCTGCACGAGATCCTAAACCCGCACATACTAAGTTGACAGAGCTGAAGGGTACGCGCATCCAGTCAATACATCGGAGACCCGTAGTGTTAACAGATATGCTCCACTCTCCGACTATTACATTTTTCGAGATTTGAGCCAGGCCACGATCAATCCGGCCTAGGAGCTGCTTCTCGAAACTCCCAGCGCGATCATACTGGGATAGGTCCAGTTGAAAGAACGCAATATGGCTAATTGACGTGACCGCTGAAGCAAATGAGTCTGATGGTATAGTAAGTTCCACGACCGTCATGCGTAGCTTGTATAAGGCTTTGAATCCCGTGAATCGGCGCATAGAGAGTGGAATGAGGGTATAACTTGTGGCAATTTGAAGATGCGAAAGCTTGGGTAAGATAAGTGATAAGCGAGGCTCTCTCGTTCGCGCAGATGGCGTAAAATAGTAGTCCAACTGCTCCAAGAGGGGAAATGTATATTGTGGGGCCTCTGCTTTCTCCCAGTGCAGTGTTTCTTCGCGAATTGCCAGGGTACGGAGATGAGGCATGTCTTGAATGCACCTCATGAAGATATGTCCGGGTATTTTCTGAGATTCGCGCCTATCACTAATGCAAATGTCCGTCAAGAGCACAGGCGGGTGGGCCCTAAGCACTTTTGTAAATGAGGAAGGGAGATCTTCGAGTGCCCCATCAAAGTAATGATCACTTGAGTAGAGAATATCTATGACTTGGGGCTCCTTCTTATCTCCGTACCAAAGAACTTCATTCACTGTTCTGTACTTTCCCAAAGGGTAGTAAATTGCGGAGATATCTCTCCCCATATCTGTGCGGCAGCGTAGCTTCGAGTAGATATCAAGTCGCAGGACCCGATGGTTCAGAACAATCATAAAATTTCGCGGATGGACTGGGACAAGTGCTCTTACAACCAGGGGCAAATCTGGAGCCAATGCAGTGCAGATGTGTAGGCGTGCCTCCAAATCTTCTATATCGTCAGCCAGGGTGAAGTATCTCCAAAGCGAGGGACTCTGAAGTGCGAGGGACTCCCATCGTGCGCAGACAGGAAGAAGCATAAAGGCTCCATTGACATCCTCTCGAGACAGGATCATGAATATTTGAAGCAGGGCGTCATCGTTGAGGTCATTGATGTGCATTTCCTTTTAGCGGAGAGTTGGTCGAAGGCAAGTTCATGGGAGGTGATGGGTCGCTTTTGAAGCAAGCATATTGTATAAATGTAGGAACAGAGATATGGACTGGTGTATCTACATATCAGGAGAGGGTCAAGATATAAGAGTGGCTTTGATTTGTTACCTCTTTGTTCTGTAGCTCAGCCTTTGCCGTAGCTGGTCCTCTCGAATCGCCTTTGACTTGCGATACCAGCCGCTCTCTGCAGATTAACAAACTTGGAATGTAAATATTATACTTTTCTACTGCCGGGCCGCCATAGCCCAGCAAGTTGAAACGCTCAGTTGTGGGTGGCAGCTCAGGTTTTTGCTCCTCACTCGACCATTGCCTTTTGCTCCTCCCATCTCGCCTGCTCTTAAAAATGGCCAAAGGACCAAAGACTACAACAAAAGGATCTGAAAAGCCATCAAAGGCGGCCAAGGCAGCGCCCGCAAAGGCAACATCCACTCTCGCCGCAGGAAAAAGTGCTGGGGCAAAGGTGGCGACGGCCGCAAAGGCTGCAAAGTCATCTGCAGAGATCATTGCAAACGGTCTCGCTGGTAAAAAGGTGTGTAGATCATGCCTAGTCCCGTAGTCTCGGACATGAGCTGATACACCCGGTTCGCTCTAGGATAAGGTAAAGGCGCATCATTCTGGTCCTTGAATCATGCCAATCTGATCTTTTTCGCTCTATCCAGGCAACATCTGCCGCCAAGGCACCCGAAAAAGCAAAGTCCAACGGCAAGGTAAAGTAGTTTCTGCCGTGGCTCAAATGTCTCTCATATTGTGTATAGAGCAAGCCCGTACAAAAGGATGAATCAAGCGCAGAGTCTAGCTCCGAAGACTCTAGCGAATCGAGCAGCGAAGAAGAGACAAAGCCAGTACCAAAGGTGGCCGCAAAGGCTAACGGCGCTCAGGTCGGTTATTAACTCGACACGGTTTATCTGCTTCTAATATTCTACTCAGGCTGCTAAAGGAAACGCCAAGGCTGCTTCCTCTAGCGAGTCCAGCGAATCTGAGAGCGATTCCTCAGAAAGTGAGTCTGAGTCCGAGTCTGACGCGAAGCCTGCACCCAAGGTGAATGGAAAAGCCGTAAGTGCGACCCCTTTTCTATACTCGCATGTTGAATAATCGGCCAGAACGCAAAGCCTGCCGCCAAGGCTGCAGCCCCGAGCGCAAAGGCAAAGTCGCCTCCCAAAAAGGCTGCACCTGCCGCGAAGAAGTCTTCGTCCGAATCCGAATCCGAGTCATCTTCGTCTGAATCGGAATCGGAATCGGAATCCGAGGTCGAGAAACCAAAGGCGGCCCAAGTCAAGGCAGCGACGACGACCGCGAAGAAGGGTTCTGACTCCGACTCCGAATCTCAATCTTCGGATTCGGCTTCTGAATCTGATGCTACGCAAACACGAGCAGGAATTGGCGCCAAGGTCAACGGTGCAGCGGCAAAGGCAAAGGATGCGGTCAAGGCCATGTCACCTGTCAAGGGTCCGCCACCGACGGTTTCAGATGCTAGTGATAGCAACAGTTCTTCCTCGAGTAGTGACGATAGCGAAGAGGATAGCGATGGCGACTCCAAGATGGGTGACTCGAAACCTGCCGCTGCCAAGAAGGCCAAAGCGGATTCGGACTCGGACTCTTCCGAGTCGGAGTCGGAGTCTGACGACTCGTCCAGCGGGAGTAGCGATACAGAAATGGAAGACGCCAAGCCAGTAAAGGCTGAACGTACGTATTCACTCCCTGGTTGATGACCAAAGCTCATAAAAACTCTCTAGCTCCATCGAAGAAACGTAAAGCGGAAGAGGCGTCTGCTCCAGCAAACGCCAAAAAGGTCAAGCTCGCAGACGGCGGTGCGGCAGCTGCACAAGGCAATTCGGACGCGAATTGCAACATATTTGTGGGCAAATTGAGCTGGAACGTCGATGACGAATGGCTCAAGTCGGAATTCGAGGCGTGCGGCGAAGTCGTGCGCGCATCGGTGCAAATGGATCGTCAAACCGGTCGCTCCAAGGGCTTCGGCTACGTCTCATTCTCCACGCCAGAGGCTGCCGAAAAGGCGATTGCCGAGATGAATGGCAAAGAGATTGACGGCCGTGCGGTCAATGTCAACGCCGCCACGCCCAAGACACCCAATCCAGCTGGCCGAGCGAAGCAGTTTGGCGATACTGTGAGCGCTGAGAGCAAAGTGCTCTTTGTGGGCAACGTGAGCTTTAATGCAAACGAGGATATGCTGTGGGAGACGTTTGGCGAACACGGTGATATCGTGAGCGTGCGTCTCCCGACTGACCGCGAGACGGGTCAGATGAAAGGGTTTGGGTACGTCGAGTTTACGAGCGTCGAGAATGCCAAGTCGGCGTTTAATGCACTCAACGGCAAGGATATTGCCGGACGCAACATTCGCCTCGACTTTTCGCAACCGCGTGATAACAATAACGCTGGTGGTGCGAGTGGTGGTCGAGGTGGATTTGGTGGCAGTCGAGGACGTGGGGGCGATCGAGGACGTGGGGGCTCGCGAGGTGGTGGACGAGGTGGATTTGGCGGCGACCGAGGTGGTCGAGGAGGTGGACCGAGTCGTGGAAACGGCTGGGGGAATCGAGGACGTGGGGGGAATAACTCTCGCGGTGGCGGCAACGCACGCACGGGCGGCGCGGCTGCGTTCGAGGGCAAAAAGATGACGTTTGACGACTAGATGGTTGTCCATTTTGTTGTCATTCCGTGGACGGTAACCAAGAGCGCAAACATCAAAAGTCGACCTCGACAAATAGTCACTCTCGACAATTCCTTTTTTCAATCTCAATTTTTCCGCGTTTCTTGGAAGTCTAGTCCTTCATCCTACGCATCTTACAGGTCGGTATCCGCGCGTTATGCGACTTTTGAGCTGTACATAGGTAAAACAGTATACTGCCGATTACTAGGGTATGCTAATGTGATCGATTCTCTGCATCCTATCCTGTTTGATTGTAAGACACGATGTCGTAGTAAAGTGTAGCTGGCGGGCAATACTTGTTTTGTCAGACCACTTGAACCTTGCCGGATCCAGGACGCGTCTTACCCACTCAAAGATGTCACAGCCCACGAATATTTCGGAAGATATACGCATTCTGAGTCTAGGTAAATATATCATTCTCCTGTAGACGCAGTGCACCCCGACCTATGCCCGTTCTCAGATGGTGGAGATGGCCGCTGCATTTCACAGCTCTACATCCTACGAGAGTACATGCATCGTATAAACCATGATCTTGACCACGAGGCGCTTCCAAAGGATCATTTCCATCTCATTACTGCCGTTGGACCAGCTGGGTACGAAGGACGATCGCAGAGTTCGACTTCTTATCTTGCCACTATCCAGATCCATTGCAGTATTCCTTGGGATTCTCAAAATGTCCGTCGAGGATTCCATCGCCGCGTTCGCTCGCGTCTGTCAGGAAGTGTACCCACTCGAGGACATGGACGCAATCTCCCGTTCAACAAAACTCCGCAACGCTCTCGCAAGTATTCTCGATGAGCAAAACGTCGAGCCAAGTGTACTCTTGAGTCAGGCCGGCGGAACCAATATGTACGTTCTCTTTCTCCTGCGGACTCGAGGCTGATTTCCCAAAGCTGTCTGGGATATTCATCTACGTCGAGCATGGCTACTTGGAGAGCGTTCCGCAACTACCCAATTCACCAATATTCCTATGATCCTTCGCTTATTGACGCCATCTGCGCCTGTTGGGCCACTGCCGGTCTCTTCCAATCGGTCATAGTCGGAAACGAAGCGGAAAGGAATGAAATAGTCAGTGCTGAAGCCACATATCCGAATCCAGCTGTTCAAGCGATCCAAGAGGCCAGCCAACTCTACGGACTGGACAGGCACGTTGGGCTGCTTTTGAGTCTAGGATCGGGAGTGTCTTCACGCCTAGTTCCTGGTGCCAAAGAAAATCTTCTGCAAATCGAGACAACCTCGCGCGAGCTCGAACGGCGCCTCGGCACAACAGGCATCTACAGTCGCCTTAGCGTTGTCCCTAGTCTGGCCGTCGCCACCGAAATGTCGGAGGAGATCATTGGTATTTTCTGCGCTCACACCTCGGACTATTTGCAGCATCCAGTGACGGATCGACTGCTGGATCAGATGGTCAGAACGCGAGACAGGGGCAGTCGCTTCACGCTGAAGGGCATCTGTAAGCCACTACGACAAAGTTTATTCTGACCACTGATTGTGTTCCAGCGGAAACGACGGCTCCACCCAAAGTTTCCATGGCTGGCCTGCCACCTCTCTCGCCTTATTTTGTCCAACGAGAGGTGCCAATGAATCATATGGATGTGGCTCTTCTTGGTTCTGAGGAAGAAATGCGACAAAGGGTGTCAATTATCACTGGGATGGGGGGCTCTGGCAAGACTCAGATCGTGATCGCATGGGCAAGACTCCATGCCGAACGGTGAGAAGGATCCGGCATTGTGCTTACAGCTGACATTCATTATTAGTTTTCAGCACATCTTATTTATTGATGCATCGTCAGAAAAGAGCGTTGAGACGGACCTTGTAACCCGGCTCAAGTGCGCCGACCGCTCCTTCCAGGGATCCGACCTGAACAGCGCTGTCCAGGCTCTTGCCGAGCCAAATGAGGTTCTCACAGCCTATTGGTGCCTCATTCTCGACAACGCGGATGATCCAGATCTCGACATTGGCTCCTTGCTCCCTGCTTGCGACCATGGTACGATTATCATCACGAGCCGCAATGCTCAGCTCGAATCCATCTCTCCGAAGGACCACTTCAAGTTGGCGTCCATGACAAAGGACGAAGCGTGCCACGCGCTTCTGACGTCTGCGCTTGCCCCGACTGGGCGGCCAACTCTGTACCAGCGAGAACTGGCAATGGCGATTGTGGAAGAATTCGAATACCTGCCGATTGCCGTTATCCAGGCGGGATGCTATATTCGCAAACATCAATGCCTCGACACATATCTCAACCGACTCACGACCAGTCGTCCTATGCTGTTGAAACTAACGACGGCTCAGCGGGACAAGCTGCGGTACAAGCACAGTGTTTACGCGGCATTTGACACGACACTCTCCTCTTTGTCGGAGCGGGCTCTGGGCCTCCTTTCAATACTATGCTTCTTTCACTACACCGGCTTTCCTCGATCGGTGATCAGTCTCGCCGGCTCCAAAGACTTTTTGCACGAGGAATACAAGCTTATGGATAGAGGACCTGACTTTGAAGAATCCATCAACCTCCTTAGACAACTCATGGTCCCAAACGAGAAATTTGAGGAGCTTGAGCTGGACTTAATCATCGAGGAGCTGCAACAATCATCGTTAATCACAATCGTATCAATTTACTCGGATAACCACCTACGCTTTCATCCCCTTCTACACGCGTGGGCGTACGATCGTCAGAGTGACGAGGAAAGGCGACGGAATAAAGCCGCGGCTCTACGGCTGCTTACCTGTGTGGTGGATGATAATGATGGCGTAGACATCGAGAGACAGCTTTTCTCACATGCCCGTCACTTCATAGCCGAGATAAACTCGCTCCATGTGAACGACAGAGGAGCTCTAGCCGAACTGCTCGAACCAGGTGATACCTCAGAGAGGTACGTTGCCATCTGGGAGGGCGTCTATCAAACTGTTCGTGCTGCGTATGGCGATTTGGATCTTCGGAGTAGCGGGGCGCTTCTCCATCTTGCGGAGGCGCAAATTGGCGTTTATAATTACAAAAGGATGGAGCAACTATCTCGCACAGTTTTAGACACGCGGCTATCTCTAGGAGAACCTAGAACCGCTTTTACTGCCCGCGCTATGTGCTCCGTAGCACAAAGCCTCGACCTACAAGACACACGACTCGAGGAAATTGTGGATCTATTCCGAACGGCCTACGAAATTCGGCGGGAAGTTTTGGGATCTACTCATATTGATACCCAGCGGTCTATGCTGTGTTTAGCAGAGAATCTGATCAAAGGACGACGAGGATACGATGAAGCATGCATCATATTGGAAAAAATTATGGATATACGGACGAAATTGTATGGATCTCTCCATGCATGGACCCTCGAGACGACCAAAGCTTTACTTGACTGCTACGCCGATATGGACGAGAAGAAGGAACAACTGAATAATCTGCTAGAAACTTGCTCCAAAATCGACACCAATACGCGAGTGGGGGACACCTCAATCCTTGCTTTTCAAGCTCATGTATACGAGCTGCAAGGGAAGTACCAACAAGCAGAACGTGCCTACTGGGAGCTCCTTGAAGCAGGAAGTCAACTATACGGCCACCTCTCAGCTCGTAATCTCGCTACAGTCTTGAAGCTCGCCTACCTCCTCCGGAAATTAGACAAGAAAGCGGAACTCGAATCACTGCTGAGGCAGTATGCCAAGATTGGAGAGGGCCTGAAAGGGTCAGGGCAGTATGAGTTGGTGTTTATAATGAGGATGCTTGGCTCATGCCTTATTTCTCAACGGAGATACGACGAAGCACGAGCCATTCTCTCAGCGGCTCTCGAAAAAGTCATTGAACGGTTCGGAAGGCTTCATTCCTTCACCACCGACACGCGCGAAAGACTAGCATATTGCTACTATCATCAAGGAGACTATTCCCACGCAGAGTCCCTCTTTCGTGAGAACGTCAGCAACTCAAAGGAAGCCTTGGGCAGAGAGGATGCTAGCCAAATTTCCTCCCTCCTCTGTGTTGCACGATGTGTGTATGAACAAAAGCGGTATGAGGAGTCTGAGGAGCTCTGGCATGATGTCTATCTCCGGCGAAAGGCAACTCTGGGACCAAATCACCCTGCGGTATGCACAGATCTTTGTTGGGTAGTTCAGTGTCTGCAAATGAGGGGGCTCTATCATCTTGCTGTGCCTCCCATCGCTGAGGTGATGGAAATCCACCGCACTATGGATGGTGGAGACAAGGGAGAGATAGTAACGGCGCATCGGAGAGTCGCAGAGGTACTGGCACGGCAGGAGATGTTAGATGAGGCGGAGGAGGCCTTTCGTACTCATATAAAACTTGCCAAAGAGCTGCACAGAGGCGCCGGGCGAGAGTATGCGCTAGAGTTGGGTAACTTGGCCAAATTTTTGTTCGATCGAGGCCGATATGAGGAATCAAAAATCATTAGGGAGGACCAACTGCGGCTTTGGAAAGAGCTACAAAACAAGGAAGAACAAGAATTCATTGCTCAGAAGCTGCAGCAAATCGAGGTGGCCCTTCAATCCCACCTCTCTGTCAATGCATAGCTGTCATCTCTGCACAGGTGTATCAAGAAGTATAAACGTTGAGACTTTCTTACATCTGGCTGCCGTATATAGCTGATTTGGGTGAATTCAGACCTGGATCCGCCGGCTCCGCTACCCAAGGGCGCACATATCTCATTTTACGATTATGCCCCTATCGGATTTTGAGGACCCGCAAGTATATACTATTATAAGAAATGGATGTTATTATTTTATAATTCCATATCCTCGTTGCTCCGTACATATTTTCTTCTGAGACTTTGTTTCATACATCGGATGTTCCATGACCTCGGTACGTAGATACTGGGGTTTATCTGACGCGCCTGCAATCGAACGCTATAGGACGTCTTTCCACCGTCAATGATCACGTCTACGGTGCTCTAGCTTTGTGGGGTAAAAGAGCGTGTCCGTCTCTGATTTGTTTCCACCAATCATTGACGAGACGGGATTCGAGGCTGTTAACATAGTGGAAAAAGCGGTCTGCGTCAGTGAAAAGTGACAAGGCATGAGTCGAACCCGACGCACATGACAATCCAACTTTACTTCAACATCGAGTCAGTGCGAACAGCCCCTCTCAAGTAAGTTGCTCATCATTCCATCGTCTTCTTATGTAAAGCGTGTGAACTAGCGAAGATCGAAACTATCTCCAAGGCTGGCCGGAACTTTGTGTGATATTGTACAGACGACACTCAGCCCAACGGTTCTGCTGAAATGATGACCGGATCCAGCCTTTCCCTTTCATATGGGATAATCTGGATATCCTACCACAGGTACGCGCTGCCCATTCGCCTTGACGCGTGCTCATTTAGCATATAACCTCCGACTTTGGATACCTGCTCTATATGCCTACTTGTGCCTCATTATCGCTCACGGGAATAGATTACTCTCAAAATGTCAGGGCTGGGTTCCTGCGTGTCGGCGACATAGAATATATGATGCACTTGGTAGATCAAGTCTACGCTAAAGGATGGCCTGCTCGAAATCTTTCAAAATCTTGGCGCATCCACAGCATTCCCTGTCTTCTTTCGGTTGGATCACAGAAGCTGCCACTTGGTAGGTCCTCGTCGGACTAAGCGTTGTCGCTTATTTGTTCCTATGTATTCTTTGGTTCGACTGGTAGCGATAACTCGACTTTTGTAGTTTCTTATTTCCAAGCTAAACATTTAAACGTAGCTTCAGCTCGACCGCCGTCTGTCATCACTTTGTCGTGTCCCAAGTCAGCTGATATATATATATATAGCTCAAATGACTCCAACTGCCCACAAAGCTGGTTATGTGGAGGGAGGCAAAGCCTATAATTCAAGACACGCTCACGAGGTGATATCTCACAGAGGCGCCTTGTATTATATCCGACATGATCCGCCTCGAATGGACGTCAGGGTCATAGAGGACAACGAGATAAACTAAGGCACTCACTCTTAATATGGGAAATGGCATGGGAAGTGGGGCTCGAAATGACGGCACTTCTGGCTTGTGAAGCCGGACGACACTCAGGGCGTAAATGAGCTTGCTCGTTTTACATACAGGTGAGCTAAAAATGTCTCCTTGTCTACTTCTTACCAAGACCAGGGCCATCGGGGCTGGGTCAGTGCGACCTTGTATGCTCTTTCGATACCTTGAAACGAGTGTGATGTGAAACGAGCAATAGTTTGCCATCAGGCATTAAAGATACATCGTATGGTGCAACGGCATCCCCGACAGCTGGAATGCTAAAATTGCATGCCTTTTTGACTGATGCGCCTTGCGAGAGCAAATCCATCATTTGTACCATATATCATGTCTCAAAGAAGGCGTATGGGACCTCGTGACTTCATTGAAGCGAATATTGGTCAAAGCGTGGCAGAGGCGCGGAAATAGGGGCCGCTCCTGAACGCGCACCATGGAGAGTCTACGAGGGTTTAGTGACAAATTTTACCTCAATCCATCACACTGACCCTTGAATGCTTAGAGGCGGACTGACCTCCGTACTCCGCTTCCGCTTTGTTTCATAACGTGTAAGGCAAATGAGGCGGGTTTGGGCCCAATAGAAATGCGAATATGCAAATTGAACGTACTTGCGCTCGAAAGAATGAATCACTATACCTCGGCTAACCCACCCACTCCTACATCGCCGACAATACAAGGCGCTACTTGGGTGGATAGCTCGATATTGCTGTTGGATGAGATCACGCCTACGATTGGTTCAATATTGCTATTCCAGGAAGGCTAACTATTTACAGAATTATATCAAGACAAGCGGGAGATGAGCCGAACTGCTTTTACCCAAGATCGTCATTACACATTACATCGCAGAGTGCCTGCAATTAAATCATTCTACATTTCGCTTCTCACGATACTTTGTTCTTGTTTGGATGGAATAGCTCGCTACTGCTGTATAAAAACCCATCTGTTTTCACTCTCACTCTCCGCATCCCTCTTTTAACCCATTATCAGACCATACTAGAAGTCTAAACTACCAACCAATTTTCACTATCACTCGCAGATATGGAATTCTTCATCACTCTCAAATTTTTCGCGTTGACTGCCACCGAAGAGCCAAAGGGCCCTGAGGACGCAGACGAGCCCGGTACGGGCTGGAATTATTATTGTGTCGTTGCATAAGCAACACAAACGTGTGTAGAATTTTGAATCATCGCTCTCAGTCACTGTTCTGACAAATATTTGAATCAGTCTTACTCGGTAGAATAGAACGCGTCTCTTATCCTCAGAGCTTTCACAAGGCATGTGGGATATGACCTATTCTATCTACATCTATTGAATATGTGCCATTGCATACAACTTTGGCTCCATACTTCATTCTCGCTATCTATACTTGCCACGAAGTTGGCACTGTCTTTCGTCAATAAATCAATCTTTTCCTGAAAGCATTTGATTGAACCTCACTGCGCAACTTCTTTACTCTCATGTAAACATTACACCATAGGATAGAAAGCCTGGCGGAAATTGTCACCTATTGTAACGCGCTTGTGCCTGGGTGTCACGAGCGAGCCAGGGCCTCTTGGGGTCGTTTAGCTAGTCTTCTACACTTTACCAAGTTGGAAATAAATGCTCAGTAGCCTCATTTTGTCATATCTTCCGCTTTCATGATTCACTTCATGTTTTCTGCGTTTCTTCTCGCGTTCTCGCGCATAGATAACGAGCCCAACAATCACTGATCGTGCACATAATGAGATTTATAGTCAATATATACCGTTTACGCGTTAGATTCTTCACTTCCTGCGGCCCTGTCGCTCGTCGGCCTTGTTCAGTCGCCTTGTTCGCCACTAGGATTCTTACTTTGAAAGATTGTGGGCCCTCGAAGCAAATTCGTCAAAGGTCCATGTCAGACGCACAGTCTTATCCGGCCAGCCACGTGACATCTCCAGCAGGTAGCGCCACCTCTGCCTTCTCTCTGTGGCCCCATTGTCTTGCCCTTCCTGCCATGACGGCGAGGAGTTTAGCCCCGTTTAGAATGTGCGTGCGGAAGGCTGTCTGTTTTCGAAACGTGACGTAAAGTTTCATAGAGGGCATGCGAGGTCGAATAACCATGGGCTTTACAGTTTTCTTGGTGCCCACTCCGGAACCAGACCAGGTCATAACTTCGTACGAGAATATAGTTGTTAGGCTTTCTGGTCGAGGTGGATACTAATGAAGATTGAGATTAGTTCTGAGGAGATCAACAGACGTACGATATCTCTCTCATTCATATTCAAGCTATCACCTGGAAGCAATACACTTCCCTTTTGCTCACTCATGCGTATGACCGCTCGCCAACTTTTTCTCTGTTTGTCTTGACAAGTGCTTTGGCGTAACAACCTCGTTACTCCAAGTCGGTTACTCAGTTCCTTGGTGGGCAGATGGCGCGTGTCGTCATAGTCTTTGTCTGGTCGACGACTTAAGGTGGCGAGGACCAACGACCGCGGACAAACAAAGTCAACTTGTTTCCTCGACGACGTTGGTCATAATGCCGTCCCCACCTCTTCTATATAGGAAACTTGTATGGACTCTTGAATAGAGACATAGAATATAGCAGTGCGGACTCTAAGCCGTCTCGTCAACGCGTGTAATCCTTCTGTGCGATTGTACGCAGGCCAATTCCAAATCAACAGAGTCGCCTTGACATATTTGACGCGGAATAATGCGAGTCTCTCGTTGAAATCACTCAAGGGCTGTGAATTCCTGGCAGTCGTGTCGTGTCCAGGCGGCATTTAGAGACCTTGACTGGCCATCACTTACCAGAGAAACCGCAGAAACATAGAAACAATCGACTTTATTGCACTCGGCGTCACGTTGGTCAACACAAACGGACGACATTTCCTATTCATGGTGTTATGGAGAAGGAAATGATAAGAGGAATAGAGTCTCCGTAAGGAAAGGTAATAATTATACATGTATTCCTGCTGTTTAAACTGTTGCCGCGATGAAGCGCGCACTCTCGCTATTAGCCGAACTTTGAGCCCTTCCATATCCGAGACGCTCGCCGCTTAACGATGTCACAGTCCACGAACAACACAGAAGATATACGCATCCTGAGTCTAGGTCAGTATATCATTCTTCTGTGAACCCGCATCACTTACTCCCTGTCCTCAGATGGCGGAGATGGCCGCTGTATCTCACAGCTCTACATTTTACGAGAGTACATGCATCGTATTCGCCATGATCTCAATCACGAAGTTTCACCAAGCGATCATTTTCATCTCATTACAGCCGTTGGACCAGCCAGGTGCGAGGAGCGAATAGTGACTTTGGCGTCTTATCTTACCTTACCACCATCTAGTGTGATTGCAGTACTCCTTGGAATTCTTAAGATGTCCGCCGACGACACTATCGCCACGTTTGCTCGTATCTGCCAGGAAGTGTACCCAGTCGAGGGCATGGACGCAGTCTCCCGGTCAGCAAAACTCCGCGGGGTACTGACTAGCATCCTCAAGGAGCATGATATCGACCCGAACATCCTGTTGAGTCAGGCTGGTGGGACCAATATGTATGTGCTCTCTGGGCCGCAAACTCTGAACTGATTCGTCAAAGCTGTCTGGGCTATTCGTCTACCTCGAGCATGGCGACTTGGAGGGCATTCCGCAACTATCCGAGCCGACAATACTCCTATGAACCCCCGCTCATCGATGCCATCTGCGCCTGTTGGGCTAGCACAGGTCTCTTCCAAGCCATTGCAGTCGGCAGCGAGGTGGAAAAGGATGATGCAATCAGTGCGGAAGCCGCATATCCGAATCCTACTGTTCAAGCGGTCCAAGAGGCCAGTGAAATCTATGGGGCGGACAAACATGTTGGGCTGCTTTTAAGCCTTGGGTCCGGGATGTCCTCTCGCATAGTCCCTGGAGGCGAATTCAAGCTCATTCAAACCGAGGTTACCTCTCGCGAGCTCGAACGCCGCTTCGGGACGACTGGCGTCTACTATCGTCTTAGCGTTGTGCCCAGTCTTGCCGCCGCAACCGAGATGACACAGGAGATCGTCGGTGTCATATCCGCTCACACCTCGGACTATTTACAAAATCCGGTGACGGATCGGCTGCTCGATCAGGTGGCTAAAACTCGTTCTAGGGCCAGTCGCTTCACGCTAAGGAGCATGTGTAGGTCATTCTGAGGTAGTCTGTCCTGTTTTCTGATTATGTTTCCAGCGGAAACGACGGCTCCACCAAAGGTTTCGATGGCCGGTCTTCCACCCCTCTCGCCTTACTTTGTCCAAAGAGAGGTGCCGATGAATCATATGGATGTGGCTCTTCTTGGTTCTGAGGAAGAGATGAGACAAAGAGTCTCAATTATAACAGGAATGGGTGGTTCGGGTAAGACACAACTTGTCGTCGCCTGGGCAAGGCTCCACGCCGAATGGTGAGCAAACCGCAACGAAGACTACACTAGTGACATCCTCTTTTAGTTTCCAGCACATTCTATTCATCGATGCTTCGTCGGATAGGAGCATTGAGACGGACCTCGTGGCCCGGCTCAAGTCCATCGACCGGTCATTCCAAGGAACCGACCTCAGCAGTGCTCTCCAGGCTCTGGCTGAGCCAAACGAGGTCACCACAACCAAGTGGTGCCTCATACTTGACAACGCGGATGACCCAGATCTGGATATCACCTCCGTCCTCCCTACTTGCGATCATGGCGCCATCATTATCACGAGCCGCAACGCCCAACTCGAATTTATTTCGCCAGAAGGGCACATAGCGCTCGAGTTGATGAGCAAAAGCGAGGCATGCGATGCACTTTTGAACTCCGCGCTTGGCCCGGCTGAGAAGCGTACTTCGCGCCAAAGGGAGCAAGCGATGGCGATTGTGAAGGAATTTGAATACCTTCCAATCGCAGTCATCCAGGCGGGATGTTATATACGCAAACACAAATGCTTGGAGACGTACCTCAAGCGACTCGAGACGAGTCGTTCCGAGCTTTTGAAACAGACGACGGTCCAGCGGGACAAGCTGAGGTACAAACACAGTGTTTACGCAGCATTTGACACTTCGCTGTCCTCGTTGTCGGAGCGCGCCCTTGGCCTCCTCTCGATTCTCTGCTTTTTCCATTATACCGGCTTTCCTCGATCAATGATCGGCCTCGCTGCCTCAAAGGGTTTCTCACATGAGGAGTACAAGCTCATGGATCGTAGCCCGGATTTCCAAGAGTCCATCGACCTCCTTCGCCGGCTCATAGTCCCAACTGGGAAGTTTGAGGAGATCGAGCTGGACCGAGTCCTTGAGGAGCTTCTACAACTCTCACTAATCACGCTTGTATCCCTCTACTCGGATATCCGACTTCGCTTCCATCCTCTTCTACATGCGTGGGCCTATGATCGTCAGAGTGCAGAGGAGAGACGACGGAACATGGTCGCGGCTCTGCGACTGTTGACTTGCGTTGTGGACGAAGGCGATGGTATAGACATTGAGCAAGAGCTTTTCCCACATGCACGCCGCTTCATTTCCGAGATAGATACACTGCACATCAATGACAGGGCAGCACTTGTCGAGCTATCCGATCCATCTCTGGCAGCTGCTACCTCTCTCACGACTTGGGAAAGGATCCATGAAACGGTTCGTGCTGCCTATGGAGACTTGGATATACGGACTAGCGAGGCACTTCTCAAGGTTGCCATTGCACAGATGACTATTCCCGATTATACAAGAATGGAAAGTCTCTCTCGTCAAGTGCTGGAGCTGCGAAAGTCCGTCAGTGGGCCCAGGACAGCCTCGACTGCTGAGGCTATGTTTTGGCTGGCAGAGTGTCTTCGGTTGACAATGAAGAATCATGAAGAGATGCTCAATTTACTACATTTGGCATATAGCATTCAAGAGGAGGTACTTGGACCGAGCCATGCCAAAACTCAGAAGACCATGTTCATCCTGGCGTACAACCTAATGAAATCATCCAAGGACCCAAAGTATGATGAAGCCAGTGTCATTTTGGAAAGGCTCATGGAAACACAAACGAGGTTATATGGGCCGCTCCACCCCTGGACACTCAATACAACCAACTCTTTGCTTGACTGCTATGCCACTATGGGGGAGAAAAAGAAGGGACAGCTCAATCAGCTCCTGCAAATTCGTCATGAAATTGGTAACCCCGATGGAAATCATGATATTGCCCTCCTCTCTTTCCAAGCTCATATATACGAGTTGCAAGGAAAGTACCCAGAAGCTGAAGGCGCTTATCAGGAGGCAATAAAAGCTGGAAGTCGACTCTATGGGGAATTCTCTATTCGTAATCTCACCACAGTCTTGACATTCTCCGCGTTTCTCTGGAAGCTGCATAAGAACATAGAACTCGAGTCACTGCTACGTAAATATGCCAAGGCCAGTGACGAGCTGCGTGGAGCAGTTCATTATCAACTACTCCAAATACTGGTAATGCTCGGCTCCTCCCTTACTTTCCAGGAGAAATACAACGAAGCCCAAACCTTACTCTCGACAACACTTGCAAAGGTCATCGAGGAATTTGGAGAGCTTCATGCTCTTGCTGCCGATATACGTATATTGCTGGCCTCCTGCTACTTCAAGCAGGAATGCTATCCTGAGGCAGAGCAACTTTTCCGTGAAAACCTCAAGTACTTCAAAGAAGCCCTGGAAGAAGGGAATGCCGGCGAGTCCTACTCGCTCATTGGTGTTGCTAAGTGTGTATTCGAGCAAAAGCGGTTCGAGGAATCAGAGGAGCTCTGGCGTGAGATCTACCTTCAGAGGAAGAGGACTCTGGGACCAAATCACCCCGCAGTATGCTGGAGTTTCTGCTTTATAATCGAGTCTCTTCAAATGAGGGACCTCTTTGATGCTGCTACGCCTCATATTTCCGAGGTTATGCAGTTATACCGTGATCTAGAAGGTGGGACACAGCGTGAGATATTAGAGGCATATTGGAAGGTTGGGAAGGCACTGGAGAGACAGAGAATGCTCACCGAGGCAGAGGAAGTCTTTCGGGCCCATTTAGACCGTATCAAAGAATTTGAAGGAGACAGCGGGCCAGAATATGCGCGAGAGTTGGGTAACTTGGCCAAGGTGCTGTTCGACCAAGGCCGATATGACGAGTCAAAGACCATTCGCGAGGACCAAATGCGACGTTGGAGTGAGCTACAGGACAAGGAGGGACAAGAATTTATCTCTGAAAAGCTGCGGCAGATCGAGGAGGCCCTTTCATCCCAGCCCTCGGTCGACGCGTAGCTACCATCCCCGTGCCCTGTACCAAGAACTATAACAATCACCTGTTTCTTATATTTGGCTACCTTTTACGGATGGTATTAGCGTAGTTGGATCTAGATCCCACCAAGTTCATATCACGAGACCACCGCCTGTCTCTGAACGATGAGAATGTGATCGAGTTTGAGGGCATTTAATTGTAGAACGATGCCATTGGGTCATAATTCCATATCCTCGTCGCTCCGTACATATTTCTTCCTAGCCTTTGTCTCCCAAGTCGGGTATTCCATGTCCTGTGTACGTGGATAATGGGGTGTATCCGTCGCGCTCTCGCGCATAGATAACGAGCACAACAATCACTAATCATGCGCATAATGAGATCTATAGTCAATGTCTACCGTTTACGCGTTATATTCTTCAATTCCTGCGGCCCTGTCGCTCGTCGACCTTGTTCAGTCGCCTTGTTCGCCACTAGGATTCTTACTATGAAAGATTATGGACCCTCGAAGCAAAGCCATCAAAGGTCCGTATCAGACATACAATCCTATCCGGCCGGTCCGCCACGCGACGACATCTCCAGCAAGTAGCGTCACCTCTGCCTCCTCTCCGTGGCCCCGCTATCTTGCCCTTACTGCCATGACGACGACAAATTTAGTCCTGTTTAGAAATGTGTGCGGAAGGCTGTCTGTTTTCGAAACGTGACGTAAAGTTTCATATAGGGCATGGGAGGTCGAATGGGCTTTACAGTCTTCTTGATGACTGCCCTGGAGCCAGACCAGGTCATAACTTCGTACGAGAATATGGTTGTTAGGCTTTCTGTTCAAGATGGATACTAATCGAGGTTGAGGATAGTTCTCTGAGGAGATCAACAGAAGTACGATATTTCCTCATTCACATTCAAGCTATCACCTAGCAATACTCCTTTTGCCCACTCGTGCGTATGACTGCTTGCCAACTTTCTCTCTGTTTGCCTTGACAAGTGCTTTGGCGTAACAACCTCGTTACTCCAAGTCGGTTACCCAGTTTCTGGTGGGAAAATGGTGCGTATCGTCGTAGTCTTTGTCTGGTCGACGACCCAAGGTGGCGAGGACCAACGACCGCGGGCAAACAAAGTCAACTTGTCTCCTCGACGACATTGGCCATAATGCCGGCCCTACCTGTTCTGTATAGGAAACTTGTGGAGTCTTGAGTAGAGACATAGAATATAGCAATGCTGGATCTACGCTGTCTCGTCAACGCGTGTAATCCTTTCGTGCCAATGTACTCAGCCCAATTCTAAACCAACGGAGTCGCCTTGACATATTTGTCGCGTTATGATACGAGTCTCTCGTTGAAATCACCCAGGGCTGTGAATTCCTAGCAGTCGTGTCGTGTCCAGGCGGCAGTTCGAGACTTTGACTGGCTATCACTTACCAGAGAAACTGCAGAAACATAGAAATTATCAACTTTATTGCACTCGGCGTCACGTTGGTCAACACAAACGGACATTTGTTATTCATGGTGTTATGGAGAAGGAAATGAGAAGAGGAATAGAGTCTCGATAAGGAAAAGTACCAATTATCCATGTACTCCTGATGTTTATACAGTTGCCCTGATGAAGCGCCCACTCGCTACTAACCGAACTTTGATCCTTCCACAGAGACGCGCTGCCGCTTAACAATGTCACAGTCCACGAACAACACAGAAGATGTACGCATCCTGAGTCTAGGTCAGTATCTTACTCTTCTGTGGACCCGCATCACTTACTCCTGTCCTCAGATGGCGGAGATGGCCGCTGTATCTCACAGCTCTACATTTTACGAGAGTACATGCATCGTATTAGCCATGATCTCAATCACGAAGTTTCTCCAAGCGATCATTTTCATCTCATTACAGCCGTTGGACCAGCTGGGTGTGAGGAGCGAATAGTGACTTTGGCGCCTTATCTTACCACCATCTAGTGTGATTGCAATACTTTTGGAATTTTAAGATGTCCGTCGACGATACTATCGCCACGTTTGCTCGTATCTGCCAGGAAGTGTACCCAGTCGAGGGCATGGACGCAGTCTCCCGGTCAGCAAAACTCCGCGGGGTACTGACTAGCATCCTCAAGGAGCATGACATCGACCCGAACGTCCTGTTGAGTCAGGTTGGAGGGACCAATATGTACGTGCTCTCTGGGCCGCAAACTCTGAACTGATTCGTCAAAGCTGTCTGGGCTATTCGTCTACCTCGAGCATGGCGACTTGGAGGGCATTCCGCAACTATCCGAGCCGACAATACTCCTATGAACCCCCGCTCATCGATGCCATCTGCGCCTGTTGGGCTATCACGGGTCTCTTCCAAGCCATTGCAGTCGGAAGCGAGGTGGAAAAGGATGATGCAATCAGTGCGGAAGCCGCATATCCGAATCCTACGGTTCAAGCGGTCCAAGAGGCCAGTGAAATCTATGGCGCGGACAAACATGTTGGGCTGCTTTTAAGCCTTGGGTCCGGGATGTCCTCTCGCATAGTCCCTGGAGGCGAATTCAAGCTCATTCAAACCGAGGTTTTCTCGCGAGCTCGAACGCCGCTTCGGGACGACTGGCGTCTACTATCGTCTTAGCGTTGTGCCCAGTCTTGCCGCCGCAACCGAGATGACACAGGAGATCGTCGGTGTCATATCCGCTCACACCTCGGACTATTTACAAAATCCGGTGACGGATCGACTGCTCGATCAGGTGGCTAAAACGCGTTCTAGGGCCAGTCGCTTCACGCTAAGAAGCATGTGTAGGTCATTCTGAGGTAGTCTATCCTGGCTTCTGATTATGTTTCCAGCGGAAACGACGGCTCCACCAAAGGTTTCGATGGCCGGTCTCCCACCCCTCTCGCCTTACTTTGTCCAAAGAGAGGTGCCAATGAATCATATGGATGTGGCTCTTCTCTGTTCCGAGGAAAAAATGCGACAACGGCTATCGATTATCACTGGAATGGGAGGCTCGGGTAAGACGCAACTCGTAGTGGCCTGGGCAAGGCTGCACGCCGAATGGTGAGAAGGCCTCAATATCACGCGTACAAATTGAGATTACTCCGCAGTTTCCAACATATTTTATTTATCGATGCTTCGTCGGATAGGAGCATTGAGACGGATCTTGTTGCCCGGCTCAAAGCCATTGACCGCTCCTTCGAAGGATCCGACCTGAGCAGTGCGCTCAAGGCTCTTTCTGAGCCAAATGAAATGATCACTACCAGATGGTGCCTCATCTTCGACAACGCGGACGACTCGGATCTGGATATAACTTCCTTCCTTCCGACATGCGACCACGGCGCTATCATTATTACAACTCGTAACGCCCAACTCGAATTTATCTCGCCGGAGGGCCACATAGCCCTCGAAGTGATGAACAAAAGCGAGGCATGCGATGCACTTTTGGCCTCCGCACTTGGGCCGACCGAGAAGCATACTCCGCGCCAAAAAGAGCAAGCTATGGCAATTGTGAAGGAGTTCGAATACCTTCCAATCGCCGTTGTTCAAGCAGGATGTTACATTCGCAAGCACAAATGCTTGGAGACATACCTCAAGCGACTCGAGACGAGTCGTTCCGAGCTTTTGAAACAGACGACGGTTCAGCGGGACAAGCTGAGATACAAACACAGCGTCTACGCAGCATTTGACACTTCTCTGTCCTCGTTGTCCGAGCGTGCTCTTTGGCCTCCTTTCGATCCTGTGTGCTTTCATTATACCGGATTTCTCGATCAATGATCGGCCTCGCGGCCTCGAAAAATTTTTTCATATGAGGAGCACCAGCTCATGGATCGAGGCTCGGATTTCCAAGAGTCCGTCGATCTCCTTCGTCGGCTTATAGTCCCAACTGGGAGGTTTGAGGAGATTGAGCTGGACCAAATCATCGAAGAACTTCAACAGCTGTCATTAATCACACTTGTGTCACTCTACTCGGATATACGACTGCGCTTTCACCCCCTCTTACATGCGTGGGCATATGATCGCCAAAGTGCGGAAGAGAACCGACGGAACAAGGCTGCGGCTCTACGACTGCTGACCTGTGTCGTGGATCAGAATGATGCCGTAGACATCGAGCCAGAGCTCTACCCACATGCGCGTCGTTTTGTTTCCGAGATCGACACACTCCATGTGAATGACAGGGCAGCACTGGTTGAACTATCTGATCCATCTACGCTCTTAGAAGCTAAGCTCAGAACCTGGGAGCAAATTTATGAAATAGTACGCACTGCCCATGGGGATGAGGATCTCCGAACCAGCGATGCACTTATTGGTTTTGCTTTGGGACTTGAGGCTATCCCCGATTACCCCAAGATGGAGCGGCTTCTACGTGGAGTCCTGGAATTGCGAAGATCGATTAGTGGGCCAAAGACTGCCCTCACCGCTGAGGCTATGTACTGGCTGGCAACTTGCCTTGGGAATACAAAGGACGGGCTCAAAGAATCATTGGATTTATTGCGCGGCATATGATATTCAAGTTGAAGTTCTTGGGGTTGATCATATTCAAACCCAGTGGACCATGATATCCCTGACAGATGTTTTATTGAGTCGACAAGAAAACTACAGTGAAGCCCGCCCCATCTTGGAGGAGCTTCTGGACATACGGATCCGGTTGTATGGGTCTCTTCACTCACGGACCCTCGACACTGCCAAAGCTTTGGTCGAATGCTACGCTTTCATGGGGGTGAAAAAGGAAGGAAAACTCGACCATTTGCTTCAGATCTATTATGAAGGCAGCGATAAGGACCGAAATTATGACGTTGCCGTTCTAGCTTTCCAAGGTCATATGCATGAACTACAAGGCAAATATCAGGAAGCTGAAGACGCTTATCGAGAATCGCTTGAGGCAAACAGTCGCCTCTACGGTCAGCTTTCAAGGCTCACTCTTTATGCCGTCTTGGATCTAGCCAATATTCTCTGGAAGCAAAATAGAAACACAGAGCTAGAAACACTACTCAGACGGTATGCTAGGACTGATGAACTACAAGGAATAGGGCGACTTCCGCTCCTGAGGATACTGCAGATACTCGGCTCTTGCCTCAATTCTCAATCAAGATATGTTGCACAGAAATTTCTCTCAGAGGCCCTTGACGGGATGGTTCAACTATATGGGGAAATGCACTTTGCTACGCATAGCATGCGTCGATCGCTTGCCAATTGCCATTTTAGCAGAAACACTATGACGAAGCAGAACTGCTCCATCGTAAGAACATGGAATGCATCAAAGAAGCACAAGGAGAGGAGCATACCAACTATCTCGTGCGCTTACATGGTTGGCACGATGTATTTATGAGCAGAAGAAGTTCGAGGAGTCGGAAAAACTCTGGAAGGACATCTACCTTCGTGACGATACTCCTGGGGCCATACCACCCCGAGCCATGTACAGCTCTCTCCTGGCTGATCGAATGTCTACAAATGAGGGAGCTTTTCGACCAAGCGGCGTCTCATATTCCCGAAATGATGCGGGTTTACTGTATTGGATGGTGGAGAAAAGAGTCAGATCTTGCTCGCACATCTGAGAGTTGGGAAGGTACTGAGAGACAAAGGATGTTCACCGAGGCAGAGGAAGTCTTTCGGGCCCATATAACGTGCGTCAAAAGTTTCACGGAGATGCCGGGCCAGACTCCGCGCGAGCGTTGGATAATCCAGGGTGCTGTTCGACCAAGGCCGATATGACGAGTCAAAGACCATTCGCGAGGACCAAATGAGACGTTGGAGTGAGCTACAGGACAAGAAGGAACAAGAATTTATCACTGACAAGCTGCAGCAGATCGAGGCGGCTCTTTCGTCCCCGCCCTCGGTCGATCCGTAGCTATCATCTGTGCCTTGTACCAAAACTATGACAATCATGTGTGTTTATATCTGGCTACCTTTACGGATGGT